TCTGATTCAAATTATATGTCATGGGCCTAATTCAAAAGCACCAATTAATTATATGAACCCTAAATAAAATTGGGCCATAAATTTGTATACACATACCGCCTATTTCAAAAGCATCTTTGCCACCTGGACAGATTTCAATAAAATCCTTCCGCTCATTATTCTATCCTATAGTTAATTTTTATAACAACTCCAGTTCCCTGAACACAATAAATCGCATATGTTTTCAACCGATAAAATTGTCTAAACTGCAAAATAAGTTAGTGTTCTAATATACTGTTAAATTAACTCGTCCTCTTATCCATTCTTGTCTGAACTCAGCGAAGCAAATTAGCAGAATTAAACAAAAAAAAATAAATGCATGCATTCTAGCTCAATTAACAAAAAATTCGAAATAATATTATTTTAATACATATATATTCGAAATAATATATTATATAATATATTATATTAATATATATTATATATTAATTATATTAATAATATAATATATAATATATTAATATAATATATTATATTAATATATATATATATTAATAATATAAATCATATTATGAATTAATATTATTCATGAATTCTTCTTCAAAGAGCTCCCACCATAAAGTCAAATCGATAATGCAAGTGATAGTGGGTTGCTGGTATTTGAAGCGATGTTCCAGCATTCTTTTTAGCTAAATATCTGGCGTCCTGGTCTGAATCCAGGTTGGTTAGGACGCATTCTGCTATCTCGTGTTGTCATGAGTCTATTTAGCAGAAAGAAAGCGAAAATTTTTCCGGAGATGTCCAGTAGGCTGATTCCTCGTTAATTGTCGCAGTACGTCCTATCACCTCTCTTAGGAATGGGAAGCAGAATTTTGCTTTGTTCCAGTCTTCTGGTAATATTTCTTTCTGCCATACCAGAGAATACATTTATGAATTAAGTTAATTTATTAATTTTGAATAACTTAGCACATTTAATAATTTATTAAATATATTTAATAAATACATATTTAATAAATAATATAATAAATTATATTTAAAATTTATCATGTCATTCATTTATCATTTGAGTACATTCTAACATAATTTAATTTCTCGCTCATATAACCATGGCGCATGCTTTGGTTGGCCACACTAAAAAAATTGTCCAAGATCCTTTCACCAGAGAGTCACTTGAAGAAACCTCTCGATATCTTAACAAATCTCATCTTTTTGGAATCCAATTTATGCTATTTGTCTTTAACTAAATCAAAGTATTATAATTCAGCAACCAATGGACCCAATTCTCCACTTTTTTTTTTTAAAAATCCTCACCATCCTCACCATTACGTGTTAAACTCGCTCCACTGGCTTGTCGCATTGGCCAATATGCCAGGGAGTGCCTTGGCAATAGAAATACAGGTGAATCGCCAGCATCACCTGGATTTTTGTACAGACTTCCTCCTAAGGGAATCGAACCTCAGCACAGGCGATCGAGCAATAACCCGCTGACTCATCCTATTCCCTATTCTCCATTTAATAGTGAACAAATATTCCAAAAGAATTATATTAGAATTAGAGCGTAGTAGTTGAAAATTCTGAATATTCAAAAATTCTTTTTAATATAATTATTATAATATTATTATATGAAAAAAAGGAAAATAAACCTCATCATTTGCATCGAACATTCCGCTTTTATCGAATAAATCCTCGAGCCTCGAACTATTTTATTTTTATACTCTTTCACTTTCACTTATAACCTTCGAAATACTTTACAACATTTGTTGCTCAAATGCTTTGTCTTAACATATTTCGAGATAATTCTTGCTTTATTTATAAGATTTCACCTCTCATAAAAGCACTTTTTATTAAGAAATTTCCCCTTAGGAAAAAATTTTTCTTTTATCAGTTCAAATGTCATTGATAATCTCATCTATCATCATTATCATTGTTAAAATTTAACACCATATCACTATTATCATTATCAACATCATTATTAATGCCGTTGTTGCCATTATTGTTATTATTATTGCCATTGTTATTTCTATTATTGTTATTGAACTATTATTATTTGTATTTTACTTGTATTTTACTTTATTAATATCATCTTAATATCATCTTTATTATCTTTACATTAATATCATCTTTACTTCTCTTTATACTGATATCTTATATATTAAAATTCAGATCACTAGTTGATATTCATTTATATTTGGAAATCTGAGTCTGAAGACGGAATCGAGCTCAATAATATATCAGTTTAGATGGACTGAATGAGGACACGAGAAAATATTTGAGAGGTTTAAGGAAGGCAAACAGAACGTTTCAAGTAAACATAACAAAAAAATATAGCAAAGGCTGAGATGGTGTTAAATGATTATAGGGAACTTGAAAGAGTAATATTAGGACGCTTATCAATAAATTAAGGAATTTTAATATAGTTAAAGGAACACAATGAAAATAAACAATTAAAAATTATTTATAATATATTATAATATTTAATATAATCATTATAAATAAATAAAAAATACAATAGTAGTAGTTCAATAACAATAATATTATAAAATATTCATCCAGTTCCTTAAAATACAAAGATAAATCTTATCATGTTATCAATTTATATCTTAACAACAAGTGTTAAGATATTTTTATTTTGAATAAACTCATTTGCAGATCTATAGTCCAGTAATTTATATTTTTTTGCACATAGTAATTTATTCCCTTGCGTACTTGTCCAATGCAATCCATATTCCTTATTAGTTATTTATTATTAGTCCTACAAGTTAGACTATAGAAATTACGTTCTTTTTATCAGTTTTATAGGCTTATAAGTTCACACATTGCTGGAAAGAGTGGTAAGTGGCTTCGAAAAAACCAAAAAACCAATGATATATAGTCAATTGTTTTTTTTAAAAAGCGTAAGCTGACAACCAATTGTTAAAAAAATGCAATTAATTTGCACTGATTAACGGCAAATGTTCAGCTCTTTGAGATACTTTTAAGATTTTTGTTCATTTGAATTATTCTTATCATTAATTTGATAATTTTATAATGGTTGACACTATGTGGTGTAACACTAAATAATAAATAAGGAATTTCAATATGTTTAAAAAGTTTAATTTAAAATTTAAGACCTAAAAGTGATAAAAGCTGTGATCCATGAATACCTATTATGGCAAAGGCAAAAGCCATATACAACTTCTTTGACAAACATCAAATCGCACTGATAATCACGTGAGGAATTGACGTACTTTGTTCAATAGATAAAAAAGCGTGGGGCTGAGATTATCGTGTTTAGAGCCAAGCGTTCGGCTCTACTCCCCCTCTTGCATCGAAGAACCTAAATGAGCAAATGTCAAAAGACTGCCCAGCAAAAAAATTTGTCCAATGCAATCCATATTTCTTATCAGTTATTTATTACCATAATATTGTCTAGCCAAAATAAACATTAACTTAAATGGAGGCTGCAGCTGCAAAAGCTGTAGGTTAGTAGTGATAAGCGGTAAATTTAAACACTACATAATTTGTGGTAACAGGTGCTTGAATTTTTATATAAGCATTTATCAGCTTTATTTTATAAAAGTGTAAGGGCTTTCAGAAAAAATAAATAATTTTAGTGACCACTGCACCTTATCTACTAGTAGGTTTACTCCTAAGTTGCTGGTTAGCAAAGATTTCTCGTCATTAATCGTCGATAAAATGGTGAGCGCTGATGCTACCACTTACACTGCAACACACCGCAAAGCTAACTCAACGGTCATGCCAATTATCTCTAAAAAAATCCATATAGTATAACCACTTTATCCCATTAAACTTTCAGAAATAGAAAAACCTATTGCAGAAGAGGAAACTCATCGATAAGCAACATTAAATCGGCAGAAAATAAAAATGAATCCATTTTTCGCCCATCTAAAAATTGCAAAAAATTAATGTTTGCAAAAAACAACTGGAAAATCATGGACAAAATTTTAAAATTCGATTTCATAATTCCAAAATTAAAATTCGATTTAAATAAATAAAATTTAAAAACTAAAAAATAAAATAAGAAATTATTTATAAAGATTTGAAAAAAATTTAATATTTCCAAAAAAACATTGAAAATTCGATAAAATAAAATTATTTATGAAAAATTAAAAAATTAAAAACGATTTCGTAAAAATATTAACAATTTTTGGGAGAAAAACGAATGAAAGAATGAGAGAAAGAAACTTATAGACAAAATAGTAACGAAATAAAAGCTAAAAAATCCGAAATCAGAAAAAAAAAAAAAACATACTTTCGAACTTAGATCAACTCGGTTATGCTTCCCCGCGCAAATTCTCTTTAAGTATTCGATAAAGCAATCAAGTCACTTGCGGCCCGACCACATTAAATTCTTCATTGGGCCGCGTTTTTCCTTAGCACAATATTTTGTCATGTTTTTGACCTTTTTTTTTAAAGAGCACCATTCACCATTTCTGTCCTTTGATTGTTCGTTTTTTGTTTATTTGTAAATATTTAAGAGGTAAATATTTAATCGAGTTCGGTTTTTATAAGCTAACTTATTTATTTATGTATTAGTTTATTGCTTTTAAGATGGCTCATTACTGCTGGCCAGGCTCGCTCCACCGCTTATTGGACCAGCCAGATTTTGCCAGGGGTCATTTGACGATACATTTGGACGACAGATTTATTCTCGCTGGGGAGAAAGTCGCAGCATTGAAAATTAAGAAAGCAATTGCTGCTTAGCCATTCTATCCCCATTAAATATTGGTATTTTAAATAAAATGAATTTTAATATCATTTTTATTTACGATTATAATCGATGTTTTTTTATTGATCACCACCGTTCTCTTCTTATTCAGCACGCACCATTTCTGGTTTTGCTAATTCAGCTGATTATTAGAGTGGAACGTCAGAATGTGTACACTTTGCAATCAGGTGATAGTCTATTTTTTATCCAAAATTATTGCGATAAATTGTTTTCAGTCAGTATAACTGTTCAATCAATCAGTCAGTCTCGTCGCATTATTGTCGAAAAATGATGAGGTAAATATACAGGTGTTATGGCAAATACAGAAGCAACATTACCGATCATCGATGATCATTATCGCATAACAATATTAGTTCGACAGTTTGGCCAACGAACGCCGACTGTTTTTAATCGGCTCGTTGAAAGGCTTCATCGTGTTCGCTATTTACAAGGTTTCCATCTTCTTTTTTTCTAAGCCTTAACTTTTCACCATAAAATATCCATAAAAAATTTTCGTTAATTTTCATTATAATATTTAACTATTGAATTAGCCTAATAGCATATATTTTAATTAACGGCCTGCATTTCGTAAGTTTTCTCTTAAAGGGTGTCAAATGCGCTCTCTGTTCGAAAACACTGTAGGCCACACCAGTAACGGTAGGCCACTTACTATAGGTTAAACAATTGGCCACTATTTGTAGTAACTTTTTTTTGTTTTAATAAAAAATGAATTAATTCGTTTTATGAAATTGTCCAAGAATTTTTATATTGAAGTAAGCGATAATCCAAAGCGTGTTATCATCGCCAATTTCGTTTCAACAATTAATTACAATTTGGCTCATTTCGGTGAATTGCAGGTTTATTATTTCTTGATTTTTACACTTTTATTGCTGCTTTTTCTTTTCCACGTCATTTATGATCTAAGTGGCTTCTTTTTGATGTAAAGGTTGGACACTTTTGCCAGATAATGTGCGCATAACCTAAGGATAATAGACATTTTGGATTTCGTCAACGACCTGCATTTCGCTTTTTTTGATACATTTATTCTTTATAATTGAATTTACACTTATTTCATTTAACCAAATAATATTTTGTGAATTGAAATTGTTATTACTAATTTGTCGATGACTGATGGGTAATAAATCATTTTTTTCGGGGATTAACATTTAAAAAATGCATCGAAAAGAAAATTCAAAAAATATTGCGTAGTTTTACTATAAATGATGCAGGAGAAAAGCAGTAGATTAAGCAGAATAGACAAAGAAAGTTGATAATAGAGAAATTGGTGAATTGATGGCTTAAACATTTTTAAAATCTTAAGCTCCAATAGAATTTAACCAGATCAAAAGTCTAAAAAATCTAAGCCTAATTCCCTAATAATTGTTTTGCAATATTTTTACAATTCAATAATTTATAAGTGGTGGTTGTTAATGGAAAATGAAGATTTGCAGGCATTTCGAAGAGTTATTGGTCTTATTGGAGTGGTTGTTTTAGAATCAGAGCCAAGTACATCGAAAGAAATAATAGACGATGGTCGTTCCAGTTTAGATAAAAAGAAGCAACGCTCATCGGCTGCAGTAACGCTCCTCACTTTGCCACAAATTAAAAAACAATATGATCTTTGTAAGGTTGGTTATTTCGCATATTCTCATACTTAATTTTATTTTTATAAAGGATTTTGATAAAATATTTTCAAAATCTTCGCTTTTTTTGATTAATTCTGTGCGGGTTTTCTTCCACTTTTTTCAATTGTTCAACGAAATGAAATATTTTAAATATATTTGTGTGAATGAATTTTGGTTTCAAATTTTTTTTAGACTGAATTTGCCGCTTCACTTGTAGATAGTCGTTGTATTATGCTTGGATGCATCGAAAATGTAATTCTTATCAACGTTTTTAGCAACAGAAAAAGTTAAATCACTCTGATTTATCTAATTAATTGACTTATAGCATTTTTAAAATTCAGATTATCAAAATTATTATTATTAATATTATTATTATATTATATTATTATTATAATTATTAATATTATTATTTAATTCTTTATTTTTTTATTAACGAATTTTTTATTTTTTTCGTCATTAGCTTGTAATTTTGGTTCGTTTTCCTTAACTTATGAGATAATTTCCAATTTTATTCTCTTTTAATATCTGTAAGCAATTTTGTTATAGCAGCAGTTAGCCATTATATCGCAACATGCAATTTATCTATTGGTCCTAACCTAACCTAATGAAAAGTGATTATATATTAACTCCAGCTCGATAGGCTGCACACTATTTTAGTACCATTTTCTCTTAATTTGGTAAGAGCAAATATTTTTAAAATATATTTAATTATAGAAGGATTTTTGGCCACCTCGCGAACTGTTCTGCTTTAACTGTTTGGATGACGCTGATCCTTTAGAAGGTGTTGTACGTGATTTCATGCGTTCGATTTTTTTTGTTCTCGAAAGCCGCCGACTTGATCTGTCTTACGAAAAACTTGAAAATCCGCCATGTCCATCAGTTCTCGACGAACAAAAGTATAGGATGGGTGTGGAAAATAAGGCTAGCAAAGTATATAAGTGCGAATTCTTTCCACATTTCTAATTTAAATATTTTTTTATAGCCATCATGAAGTATTTTTCTTAAGGAATATTATTAATATCTTTTAGAAAGTCAGGAATTAAAGTTTGCTTTCATTTTATTTGTTCATTTTTATATTTACACTAGTCAATTTTTGTAAATGATTATTTAGTTGATTTTCTAATAAAATCATAGATAGCATATAAATTCGAAAAGAAAGAGTTGCAGAAAAAAATGTATCGGTCGTTTACGTAAACAAATAGCTGATTACACGCTCATGACTGGTCTGCCTTTCCTAGCACTTGATGCCTACCAGTCATCCATTGATGCTTTAAAACAGGCAAATGATCTTCTTTGGCTTGCTGGTTCGTTTTATTGTTTTGTCATTTTTAGCTCTTTAGCTGATAATAATGATAAAAAATTGCCAAAAAAATAAAAGAATAACTGATGAAGTACAGTCCCTTTTGCTTCCGAAATCAAAATAAAATCCACAGTATTATTTGTCCGCTGTTTCAAGCACATTTACCTTTCAAATGGTCATCAAGATTTTTTCCTTAAATTTTATTCCTTTCTTTCAATACCAGTTTTTTTAAGGAATGTTGCTTCTAGTCGTTATATTTTTAGCAGCGTTTGAAGGCTGGGCATGTGCAGCTATGGTTGTTAAATACGATCTTAATGATGAATATAATTCCTCAAATTTTATTCAGCGAGTGGCAACTGCATGTCAACTACAGCAAATAAGTTCATTTCAAGAACGGGATCAGAGAATGTTAGTTAAAAATCTGAAAATTAAAGCCTTTTTTTTTAAATGGAATATTTTGTGAATAAATGGAATAAGCGTCTGTTTAATAATTAGCGTGAAAAATACATTGTAATAATATTCAAAAAAAGTATTTTATTCATATTTAGACGTTCTTTTGGTCACCAGCGTCATCCGTCAGAAAATGAGTGCACTTCAATTACATCTAATGCAATGCAGGATATAACAGTTGAAGAACATAACAGGCGTTTTATCAAGCTGCCTCTTACTCGCAATACGGACTCATCTGAAAGGTTTTATTTTTTTACTTCTTTTACAATTTTTAATTTTTTTATTATTATTTTTTATTATTTTTTTATTATTATTTTTTTATTATATTTATTTTATATATTATATATTATATATATTATTATTATTTATTTATTTATGTTATTTGATATAAATTATATTTTTATTATTGTTTTTATTGATTTCAAAGCGATTTTCATGTTTTTATAGTAGCATTTTAGGAAAAATGCGGTGAATCACAAAGAAATTACTGAAAAGTTCAAGATGGCATTGGAGAACTATTCAAGATTTTCGTTTGTTGCTAACATAGAATATGAGTGTATGGTTAGATGTGCATCAGCTTATCGTTATCAAAGGCTTTTTATTGAAATGGAGGTACATGCCTAATTTTATTAGTTTTATTTTATTAGTTAATATGCATTATTTATCACATTATGAATTCGCAATCAATTTTCAGTTATAGGCATTCTTCAGATTGGCTTATATTTAATTTTCATGCGATTTTAGCAAACTGTGTCCACAGTTTCCCTCTTTGTTTCGTATGCTTCTATTATTCTAAGCTTTTTACACTTTCTGTTATTTTTGCTGCATTTTTACGAAATTCATTTCAAGTAAAAATTTTCTTCTGCGTTTCACTTTAGTTTCAATTTAGTCGTTTATTCGAGATAATGTTGGGAAATATCTGGATGACAATTATACGATATTCGATAATATTACAAAAGCAAATATTTGTCTAAATACTTCAGCAATGTTTCGAATGGTTACTTTTGTTTTTAAGTAATTTTCATTTTTACCAGTCTAGAGGAATAAAAAACTAAATTCATTCATTGAATTGAAAAATTTTCAGTTTTCTTTCGAGCTATTATTTATTTATTATTTTGCTTAAAGTTATCGTGAAATTTGATTTTTTCAAGTTCTTGCTCTGATTTTTCATACATTTATGGTTTTTTACCATTATATATTCATTGAAGATTGGTTTCCATAGAAAATGCGCTTTTTTTGCTCGTCTGGCAGTATTATTTCGACTTCATGCATCGGATGGTGAAGCAAAGACGATTGTTGATTATCGCTATGTTTATCCAATACTTTATCGATCCTTGGCTGGCTATGGTATTCCAGAGGACTTGAAAGAAATTTCGGGTGATTTGAGTGTACTGGGTCCTGTGCATATTCAAAGGAAGGCTTTTCATGAAGTTTTTATGAGTGCAATGCGCGCTGAATATCATGATGCAGCAATCCGTCATTTATGTTGTATTTTGCAGGTATCGAAACTTTTTTTACCAATATTTCTGATTTATATTTTTATATTTTTTATTGACATATGAAAAAGGTCACATCATATTCATCTTAGGTTTATTATGATTATATGGATTTCGAATCGATTGTTAGATTATTGGATGAACTATTTCGATTGGTCTCTGTACGTGATGGTTTTCATCACCTTAATCAACATATTTCTCTACCACAATGTGGAATCATTATACCTCCAATACAAATGACTAGGTTTCCCCGGCTACAGTTGGTTTTTGGTTATATTGTTAAAAAGATCGTATATATTATGTTGTTCGCTTTTTCATTGAAAAGCTTTTTTTTAGAAAACATCGAAATTGAAAAAAATATGAAAAAATTTTTGGTATTTTGTTTGCCGCTTCTTCTATTCTTACCGTTCTCTTTTTAAGGAACCTATCTTTTTCCTTAAAATTTGGCTTCACTTTTAGAAATATCTGTTTTTGATTTTATTATTTATTCTAACATTGCAGAAACTTTACTGTTTGTTCATTGCCACCTCATTTGGCTCCAATAGTTATTAGACCTCGTGTTACTTCAGATATTTTCATTTATTCACCATTTCAACGTGGTGATATCTCATCGAATGGTACATTCATTTTTTTAAAGCAAAATTTGAAAATCAAATTAAAATCAAATTTTTTTATTTTTTTTATTTTTATTAACTATTGTTCTGGACCAATGCTAGAATTTCTTTTTTGCAGCCATTCGATGGGTCGTCGATTGTGCCTGTGAAGTATCTGTGCGAGTCAAGAATTATCTTCCTTTTGAACTTTCAGTTCATAATTTATCGTTACTTTCTGAAGGATGTTCTTTGGAAACTATTCCTGTGCGCCTTAGTTTAGCTGCTTCGGCTGATTCAAATGATCTCGTTGATATAAAATTGATTAGTGTGCCAAGGTAATTGCTTAATAGTTCCTAATTTTCATGTTATTTTTTCATGTTATGTTATTTTTAATTTAGTTCAATTTAATATTATTGTGCTTAATATGATAAGTCCAGCATATTGTAGAACGATTGTTGAATAAAATATAGAAATAAAAAATATCCCATATATTATTTTAGGAGTGCTGGAAGACTTCTAATAACGGGATATTCTTGTGAAGTACTTGGTGTCAAAAATATTTGCCGTTTACGAGATATGCCTGAAGAGGCAAGAATGCAAAACGCTGGATCAAATGCTTCTGTTTTTGATGTTGAAGTACTTTAATTCTTTTATAATATCTTATTAGTCATATGAATGATACGATTTTTTTTTTATAAAATATGACCATGATCTTTAAGACTTTGAAACTTTGAAATTTTTCTCTTGACAAGCTATACTTTTCAGTTTGTTGCCCCGCAGAGTGATTGGTTGATATTTTATTTAGGTTTTGCCAGCATTGCCAGTTTTGCGTCTTCAGACATCTCTTCCTAGAGCACCAATTTCTGAAGCAGATCTCGAACCAGCTGCTGAGTTATCAGTTTACTCCGGTCAAACGTATGCTTTATTTATTTTTTGCTGCATCAAAGTAGAAAAAGAACGAACGTATAAATACTTGACCAAATGAATTTTCTAATATATACTAATATATATACTTTTCTAATATACATTTAAAACTTTCTTCATTGAATTTTCTAATTTTTAATATATTTCATTATTTTAGATTCGAACACACAATATCAATAGTTAATACGAGCGAAAATATTGGTATTGCAGATGTTAGGCTTGAAGTTAAACAACCAAAAGTATGTTTCTTAGTTTTTTTTTATAGTTTTTATTTGACAGAAAATTTTGGTTCATTCCTGTAAAAAATATTATCATTTAGCCACTGTGAGTAGAATTATCACTAAATTGAATGTGAAGCTTTTAATATAGAACTTTCTATTTCTTCTTATGTTCATTTTATTTGGTTCATTCTTTTTTGATAACTTAATATCGCTTTTTGTATTAAGGTATGTGGGGGCCCCTGCTTGATCGAAATAGTTAATGATTGGATAGATGACGATTTACTCACTACTATCGGCACTAAAAGTTCGACCACAAAGTCGCGTAGACTGGAGCCGCTTCAGCTTAGGCATATAAAGTTCAGGTATGTGTAAATATATGTTTATTTTTGATCATATTTTCCTTACTATTATTACTGTTGATTTTTAAGGTTTTAAGAAATTATCTTTTGAGAAAACTTTTTTTTCATGATTTTTGGAATTGATCCGTCTGCAACGGCTGATGACGGTTCTATGCGAAGCCGTGATGGTTTGGATGATGATAATAGCAGTAATGAATTCACTAGTGAAAGCGCTCATGATCGCATTCCTTTTACGGGAGTAATTCGTTTTTTTATTTTTATTTTTATTATTTTTTATTTTTATGTTTATTATTTTTCTTCTTTCCGTAGCCGTTACCATTTCTGGCATACCTGACTGCTAAATGACTTCATTAGAAAGGAAGGAATAAGAATTTGATTATTGATTTTATATTATTGAATCCTAAGTTTCATCCAGATTGCACTTTTAATGATTGGTTTGATTCCATTAACAAATAGGATTCGAAGGTTAAGAAAATATTCGAGCATATTCCTCCTTGTCCATTGTTTTTATTTTAATGTTCTCTAGAAAAAATTTGTTAAATCACTAAATCACTAAACATTTTTTTTTTAGCGGTTACTTACTTCGGAGTTTATAATTCATTACAAAGCAGATATTATTGGACCAGAAAATGAAGTATGTATAATTTTAATATAAATATTTTTTTGAATTAATTTTGATATCAAATTCGTGCTGTTGAAAAAATCGTGTTTCATATCGTTTTTGAACGAGTGTGTTTTCAGCAATATGAACGGCGCTGTCGACTTCCATTGGCCGTTTCAATCATACCAGCAGTAACAGTATCCGCATGGCACGTTTTGCCGGGTGATGGCCCTACTTCTCGATATGTATTAATTGATGTCACAAATTCTACTGAATGGGACGCTGAGTTATTGTATGGTAAAGGCAAACTTATTGGTGTTCAGCCAAAGGAAATATGTCGGTTAGTAACTGGTATTGTTCCGTTTATATTTTATTTGAAGTAGAAAAATCCTTATAGTATATTGAAGGATTTTTTTTTTAAAAAGTCCTCACCATTGCTAGTTAAACTGGCTCCACTGGCTTGTAACATTAAGAAATATACCTGGGAGGAGCCCCTTAGCAGTAGAAATACAGGTGAGTCGCCACCACCACTCGAATTTCTTTACAGGTTTACTCCTGCAAATCGAATCGAACTTCAGCATCGGCCCTCTCAATCGAGCAACTACCCTTTGAGCCATTCTATTCCCATATTAAAAGATAGGCCAGATAAATGAAAAAATTGAAAATTATAAGCTGGAAAATTGTGTGGAATTATAAGTTCGCCTTATTTTTACGGTGAATTTTTTTTAAAAAATTTGCCTGTTGATGAGATATCTTTAATTTTGCTATTTTTTCAAATTTATATTTTTTATAAGCTACATTCATTCAATGTTCTTTCAATGTTCAGAGTACCATTACTTTGCGAATGTTGCTCAGAAGTTGCATCAGATGCATTTAAGCAAGCTGAAAGTCGTTCATCACATATGATGCAAGTGCAAGAAATGGAACGTTTGCGCCGAATGTTAGAGCGTCATGTATCTGCTCATCTGGATATCCGGTGGTCAATTTCAAGTTGTAATCTTATGGGTTCTGTTCCTGTCGGGCCACTTTTATCGTCCGTAGCTTTTCTCAAACAACTTATCGTTCCCGCGATTTCATTTGGTGTGTTTTTGGTTGTTACCGAATAAAATTTGATATGTTTAATTTTGACAATTGTTTTTTTTATTTTGCTCTGTATATTTCTAAAGAAAGGATGGAGAAACGTGCATAATTTTTAGCTGGAAACTGTCCTCCTAGATATGTTCATATTTTTATTGATGCCGGTTTTACGGTACTGTGATTGAAGGAGGGTCTGAGCTTTACTAGTTTTTTACGAGATATATCGTCACATCATATATCATTTTATCATTATATCATTTTATATATTGAATAGAATATGTATAGAACCAGAAGTTTTCAGAAATGAGCGTTAATGGTGTTCCCTATCTGAGTGAAGATGATATATTAGCTGGAATTGGCGAAATTTTTGATCTGGAAGTCAAACTAATTAGTTCTGTTCGAGGTTTGAATTCCAATATATTTTCAAAATTTTTCGAATTCGGCTTTTTTATTATTGATATAAGAGAAATATTTAGTTCATTCTTAAATTCTTAATATATAGAAACATATTTTCAAAAAGATGAGTTCATACTCAGTGGACGTAGCATTCAATTTTTAAAGGTAGAAATAAATCATCTGAACTGATAAATTTTTTGCAGGTAATCGTTTATATAGCGGATTTTTACAGCTTCAATGTTATAGAGATGTACAGAATGGCTCCATTATCAATAGCAATGATAGCATGATCGTACTTAATGCTGATAGCGTTCCTTTTGCTGTGGCAAGTGCAAGTTTTTATACCTTATTCAAATAAATAAATCATTTCAAATAAATTATTTGAATTAGTTAAATGTCGAATGTGCTTATAATTTGTGCATCTTTGTACTTTGTTTTTAAGATAAGTTACTCACTCTAAAAGTCATCAATTTCAGGATTATGACTGTAATGACGAAAAAAACGAAAAGAATTTGGATACAATATCTATTGAAAATGATTATGCCCCAAGTTCTCTTGAGATTGATCAACGTTCTTCTACTAACTCGAAAGTTTTTAGTAAAATTTTTACAGCTAATTTCTTGGTCATATTTCGGTATGAAGGCTGTCATAAGGTATGTTTTTCCAAAGATTCTTTCACGTTAATTTTCTTATTTTTCTGTCCATTTTTCTTTTCATTCTTCTAATTCATTTAAGGTGAAGCCCTTTATCAACTTGTATGAAGGATCGTCACTAATTTCCAAAGAAGAATTATTTTGTTCTGCTGTTTCATTTAATGTGGTCACAAAAGTTGGCTAAAGCCAAAAGAGAATTTCGATTTCTACGGATTTGTTGAATTTAATTTTTAAAATATAATCTAAAAAAATGTATGTATTAATAGAAATTAATAGTAATAAGATTTGGTCTTTGAGCCTTAATGTTCGACGAGTTTATACGTTTGAAAGGTTTTTCATTTATTCCTGTTTATTCGTTATCATTTTGTCATTGCTGGAAAACGTAAGATATCCGATATTTATTTATATTATATTTTGTAAATTAGTTTATTTATACCATTTCTTTATATAAATATATAGATTTTGTGAAAATTTATTCGCAAAGATCATATTTCAGGTCGTTTAGGTGTTATTTGATTTAAAATAAATCATTTTTCTCTCATGAAAGAAGTTTCTCTTCTTTGAAAACTATAAATTTCCGAAAAAAAATCTGAAAAATATTTTTTATTGTCAGTCAATAAGCTCGCTGATATTATATTTTGTGAATATATTTTATTTGGAACTGCAATAATCATTAGCTGCCATAGCATCGTTCATTTTACGGTTACATTATCCATTTTTTTTGAATTTTTTATTTATAAATATTTATTTTATTATTAAATATTTGGGTATATCGCGTTTTGAAATATATGAAATATACTTAATATAATGTGTTTATTGTAGAATATTATTAAATAATTTGGTTAAGCTTTTTTCCAATTTCAACTTAAATGAATTTCATTATTCATGAGAGTGGAAATATAAGAATATAAGAACTCGCCTAAGGCGCTGCATTATGAAGACATTTATTTTGTAGAATTTGAAAGTACTCAATTGTTGTTTTTGAAGGTCGGAATGATCATTAGAAGAATCAAACACTAGAAAACCAGTCAAGGATGGACCTATCCAGTCGGTCCACTCAAGAATTGTAGCTGGTGAGAACCTGGAACTTTATCCCCAAGTGACTTTTCGTTGAAAGGGTCTGATGTTTTTGAAATAACATACTCCTAATGATAATATTCCCAGCCAGGTGGTACATGCGATAAATCACGTGGAACTTCAATTCCCAACTAGGCTGGTTTCATCTTAGTCGCCGTTGGAAGAGTCTAGTACTAGTCGTTCCTGTCATGGCGCCGAAATGAGCAACCATCATGAAAATTTGGTCATGTTATTGTCTGAGCCAAGATCTGCATAAAATTGATAATTCGCTAGAAACAAGATCTTTCAATCATTTTAAACTCAAAGTTTGGGAACAATAAGTATTTCAATTTGAATTATTGAATTACTCAGTAAAATAAACCGTATTGTAACCCGTATAACGACAGCTAGAAATTTGTTTTTCCGGCTTGATGAAACATTTATGGAACCGTCACGAAATTAAAGACGAAAATCCGCATCCACATAGCAATTCACTCGATCTTGCTATATGGTTGCGAAACATGGCCAATGAGAGTGGAAGATATTAAGAAGCTAATTAGCCTTTGACCACTCATGTCTAAGGCATTTTACGGATCCGTCGAGTGGATAAAGTCGCACATGATTATATCCATGTCCGCTCATTTACCATCTGTGTTAATAATGTTATCATAGAGCGTCGTCTTCGATGGGTAAGTGCACGTTTTTCGTCGTCCATCTCAGGAGTTGAAACATATTTCGCTGCTTGCTAAACCTTATGATGGTTGGCGTTAAAAGCGAGGAGGGTCAGTCAAGACTTGGACTGATATAGTCAGGAAAGATTTTCAACGTACAGGTGGACCAGCAATATATGGACTTAGACAATGGGAAAAGGAATGGCTTCTATCGTGCAGTTTGGAGATTCTCATTCTCGTGGCCAGCACAGCCAGTCTAACCAGCAAGAATTGCTGATGAGAACTGCTAGAAGAAGAAGAATAGATGTGAGTCGAGTACTCGGTACTCGGGTTTCACCCTTAATGACGGGTTTCATCTGGTCGACTACTTCTTTTTTTGCTGTCCTTCATACAATGCTTCCTGTCGACGAACCCTTGACCCTCGCTATATTTCTTTGTATTTATTGGATCTGCAGGTGTATTTTAACAATTCCAACGATTTCGAAAGTGATTTCAATGAAATTTCCATTTTTTTGAGAGCGTTGATTAAAAGGTAATATGGGGCTGCAATATTCAAAGTCGATTTTGGGCCGTAAAATTTTGTGGCCAGGTGAGATTTTGTTCAATGCGTCTTTGGTTTTTTTTTGTTGCCTTTTAGAAATGCAGTGAGATTTTTCGTCTTATGGTTTTGTATTTTTTCAGTAAATAGTGAATTAAATTAATGAAAGGGATTATTTTCTTTCTATGTTTTATAATAAAATTGGCAGTAAATTGGAACAAATAATTGTCGTCGAGAATCGACGTTTGGCTTCGAACAGTCCGCCGACTTCGCGCGGTCGCCTAGCAGAGAAAAGCAAAAAACGAGAGTAGAATGGCTCAGTGGGTTGTTGGCAATTCGGAGCGCCACTGCCGAGGCTCTCCTCGTCGTTGGCGCAAACCTGTCCGGAAGTCGGGCCTGTTCTCGCGACTCACCTGCGCTTCCATCGTCAAGGCTCTCCCTGGCTTATTTTCTAACGCGATAAGCCAGAGGAGCGAGTCTAGTCAGTGAACGCTCTAAAAAAATATATTGAAATAATTTAATAATAAATTATAAAATGTTTTATTTTCTAATGTCAATTATTATTATTAAACAATTATCATTATTAATTTTTGTTTGTCGCTATCAGTTATGTATTATTTATTGTTATCATTTTTGATAATAATAATTATTTTTCAATAGTTCGCTTGAATATTTATTGACTTAGAAATATATAGCGCAGAAGGAGAAAGTGTAACTTTAGCAAGGATAAAATAACAATAATAGATACTCGACGACGTTTCGATATCCTTGCCATAATCCTGTAATCAAAGCTACCTTTGCATACGCATAAGGAAGTAGAAAATATATCAACAAAAAAGCGATATAGGACTAACTGAATAGGAAAAGATAAGGTTTCTCTTGTTTATTTGGAGGTGAAAAGCAAATATAATATTCTTAGAGGCATTACAATCTGGCTCGGAAACTGGTGACTGTATTATGGTCTAATTAGGCTATTGTTCTCAAGAAGGAGCTGCTCTTCCCAGAGACGTGCTGTATTATGGTCTAATTAGGCTATTGTTCTCAAGAAGGAGCTGCTCTTCCCAGAGACGTGCTGTCATTGTCACTTAAATCAATAAATATTTAATTGGAATATTGTATTATAAAATCGTACAATAGAGAATGTATCATAATTTAAATGGTCGTTTTTATTGCAGAAAACATATTAATGTATGTTGACGATATGTTAATAATGGACGAGGCACTTTTAGAAGTTTTAAATGAAACAGATTTAATGAATTTTGAGCGTAAATTAGCTGTGGAATTACAAATGACACGTTTGGAACACTTCGATCATGTCACCGACGATGAACTTAAGGTATTTTTGACAATTTTTGTTCGAGAAAAATGAGTTTCTCTTCTCAATCTATCATTTAATTCAGTTCATTTCCATTTTCTGCGGAGCTTTTCCTTTATCTCATTTTTAACTCTTTTTTTATCCTTAAATAGCGATCCTCGACTGTGAAATTCTGGATTTTTAGGATTTCTCCTACTATACTCATATTTGATATTTGTTATTGTATATTTTTTAGAATTTAACAAATTAATATTAAAATTAATAATAGAATTTATTACTAATATTAGAGTTTTACTCAGATTGGCAATTTCAAGAGGCATTGGTATATTTATTTTTGATATTTATTATTCTGTTATTTGTGATACCTATTGTCCTTCAAGAATACGCTTAACATTGCCATATTTTTGGTGTAAATTTTCTCTTTTTCTAAGAGATTAAGGGAAATTAAAGTTTGAACATCGTCTAACATCGTTTAACATCGTCCGCTTAAGGTAGTAAAATTTAAAATAAAGCTTCTTAAGTTCTAACACTGAGATCTATTTTAATATAGTGAAAAAACCATAGACTTAGGTAATTTGAATGAATTATAGAGTTATTTAAACATATCACAACCAGCAGTTCGTCGTTTACGGCAAGCAATTATTGAAAAGAAAAAGAAATTAAAAAAATCGAAGGGATTATTTTCTACCATTGGAAGGAAAGATGGTCGAGAAGCATCGAAAATTGTTTCAACTACTGCTACTGCTTTAAGGGATCCACCTAAAGTTGAAAACAATACCTGTTTGATCAGTAAAGATCAGGTAGTGCTTCTTTTTTTCCCAATTTTCAGCAAATTTCTTTTGTAACATTGTCATGTTACATTGTCAAGTTTTATCGATTTAGGTTGATCTGTTTGAACGGTTAGGTGAAGGATCATTTGCCATAGTAAGACGAGGCGTATGGAAACGTTCTGACGATCGAAAGATCGATGTTGCCGTCAAAATTTTGCGCGAATCTTCCACAGAAGTTATCCGAGATCTCGAACTTGAAATTCACAATATGCAAAAGCTGCAGCATCCAAATCTTGTTCGACTTTATGGCATCATTTTTGCTATTCCAGCTATGATGGTTTGATTTTCTTTTTTTTAGATTTTGGAATTTAAAATTTAGATTTTTTAAGGTTTTAATTCTTTTTATTTGAGGTTGTTGAATTTTGCGAGGGAGGATCTTTGATTGATCGACTCCGTTCTAAGAGCAAGCCTGTACTTCTTGTTACGATGTTAATCGAATATGTGCAACAAATAGCTAAAGTAAGTTTGGCTAAATATTTTTTTTATTTTGTGCTTTTTGCTTAAACATAAACGATAAACGATATTCCACTTTAGGGTATGGCTTATTTGGAATCGAAACATTGCGTTCATCGTGACCTCGCTGCAAGGAACGTTCTTCTTACTTATGATGATAAGGTAATGCCGTTCTCTTTTTGGCATTGTTCATAATTTCAATAATATACTGTATTCAATATCATATGGATATGAGAACAGGATGAAAATTTAATAAATACTGTTTAGACTGTAAAAATTTGTGATTTTGGTTTAATGCGGATTTTGGAAGATAATCAAAGGTTATACGTGATGTCCGCTCAAAAAAAAGTACCTTTTGCTTGGTATGTTTTCTTGGTATGTTTTCATTATTCCTCTTTTTCATTAGGAGCTTTATTCATATGATTTATTTGATTTATGATTTATTAATGAGATGAAAATATTCAAATAGAAATTAAATTTAAATAGTAGAAAGGAACATTCAAATCCTTCATATAATTCGATTTTCTTTTCCCTTTAAAAAACCTTTAAGTGACTGACTTCGTCCCAGGATCAAGCTTGTACTCTTCAATGTTAATTCATTAAAATTTACCATTTGCAGGTGTCCTCCTGAGTCACTTAGATACCGCCATTTTTCTCATTCTTCAGATGTATGGGCATTTGGCGTTACTATGTGGGAATTGTTTTCATATGGGGAGGAACCATGGGTTGGATTCCGCGGCGCAGAGGTTTCATATATTTTCATTAAATTTTTAAAGAAGAAACTGTACACATAAATAATTTAATGCTTTTTGTTCTTTTTTTAAGGAATTTCTTTATCTTTTCTTGAACTGGAGATGAAATGAAGATGATTTGGTCTTTTCAGGTTCTATCAAAATTAGAAAGCGGGGAGCGTTTATCTCGTCCTTCATCATGTTCACGCGAATTTTATGAATTAATGATGAACTGCTGGTCATTTAACGCTGATATGAGGCCACGTTTTAGCTTGTTGAAGGGGATCATTGCAGATGTCGGATATTCTTTGTAATTTCTCGGTGTTCCTTAGTAATTCTATTTTTTGAATATATAAGAATATATTTTTTTTGAATATAAAAATAAATTCAGATAAGATTCATGACTGCAGAGTGTCGAGAAGTGCGAGTTCCTAACAAGGAAGCAGATTTAGAAATGATCTTGGATGATCGAATTATTGTGATTGATGGAAGGTAAGCACTGTAAGCATAATTTGTTGGGTATTTTAGTTGGATACTTTTTTTTATCATAGAAATTTAGAAATTTTTTATTATCGGCATGTAAATTCAGTGACCACATTTGGTATGGCCAGAATGTTAGAACTCGTAAATTCGGTCATTTCTATCGTTCTTGCATTTATGCAAAAAGTAATCGCAGCGGTGAACCAAACAGTGCCAATTTTACCAGTGGTATGATATCGGAAAACAATCATAATGATAAGATCTCGAAACCTATTCCAGGTTTTTTTCATGCCTATTAAATTTTAAAATTTTAAATTTTAGAAAGTATCCAAAAAATATGAATAAGATTCGATTACATTAATAAACTGAGTTATGAATAATTTCAGGATCTTTTATTCACGCTGGACATGGTGATATAAATCCCAGTCAGAGCTGGGGGCAGCCTGATAGGATTGATGATATATATCTTAAAAACCCTATACTTCGAAAGGAAAAAGAAATATTTAATGAGTTAGCAATAATTTTTATTATTTCTTTGCTATAATTTCACTGGCTACTTCATAATTTTTTTCGAAACCTTAAAAAATTGAAATAAATTCAATACATCCATTTAAAAATTAATTTAGAAATTCGCGACGTCGAATTGGGCCAGAAATTATTCCATCTATCATTGATGTATCATCACGCGGTAAATTTTGATTTAAAAAGGAGGGCTTTCCAAATAACTTCGTAAGGTTTTATAGACTACTTGGTTCGTTGGCAAATAAATTTATATTACAAAAAAAGTACTGAAAAGCTAAAAAAATTTTTCTATATATATATATACATATACGATTCAATTTGGATCCTTTTATAATAACATGATGAATTTAAATATTTTAACCTTATATAATTAAGATCTTATTCCTGTTGTTTAATAGGAAGCCAAACTTTTTTTCTAGCAATAGATTGAACAGAACTGAATTGCATTATTTACTTGGATGAACGTATTTGCGAAGTAGTAGATTCTATTTTTCAGTGGTAATTGTTATCTGAATTGCGAGTTAATTTTTTTTGTCTTGTAGTGGTTAGAGTTGCATGTCTTAGCCAAATTTAATTTTTCATGTTGAAATTATTTACGATTCAATTTCGATAAATTTTAATAAACTAGTGAACCCAAAATTACACTAAATGAAATCTTATCAAAAAACCAAAATGCTTTGGTTTTAATAATATTGTATTGACTTCAATTTAATAAAAAATCTTGCCAGCTTTTCATAAAAATTAGATCCTACGATTTTATTTCAGTTTTTTTTTGCTAGACTTTCTTGCCACTTTCTCTTTAATTTCATATAGTTTTGAATAAAATTTAGAAATTAATATTTTGAAATTTAATTCCTTCTCCAGTAACATCCTTGATTCCTACTTTATTTCGACATGTAAATATTTGTAGATTTGAATATGTTGCAGTCATTGTTGCAAGCATAGATCGAGTGAAGTATTAATTAATTAATTTGAAAGCCAAAATTCGTGGGATAATGGGAAACATTTTTTTTTCATGAATTTTTTTCAGAAGCAAATTTATTTTTAAGGCCAATCAGTTGTCTCAGCGCTTAATGCAGGTTCTGGAAATCGAGCAAATGAATCACCAAATTTAGCCAGAGATAAAAGTTTATATTCAGTGGATCCCTTTGCTCCTTTCAGTGAGTATTCCTATGAAGTTTTTAATGGACATGTATCAGAAAATGTCAACCAAACAGCCTCAAGTCAGTCTTTTTTAATTAATATTTTGAATTTTCTTTCCCATAAATAAATATTTAATAAATATTAAATATAATACTATAATAATAAATTATCATATATAATATTAGTTCGTTCAGATCCTAATTTGCTTCATCCTTCATCATTCGACGTATATGATCAACCACCAGTGGCGGTCGAAACTCACGTAGGTAAAATGTTTTTTATATATCAACAGATAAAGATTTCACATAAAAATCTGGACAATTACTTGTCGCCTACATTTTTGTTTGCTTTTTTGTCTGTAACAAATAGTTTAAATAAACAGAAAATTAGAATAAAAATTCAAAATGCTTTTGTTTAATAGTTATTTTCAAATATTTTCAACAAATTTTATCCTGATTTTTTAGATGGATTGATCGATTCAGTAAAAAATAAATCAAATCCTAGCCAATTGTCAGTTTCTGCTACAGTCAGTATGCATCCATCAGAAAACATTGTCAAACAAGAATCGCCAACCTTAGCAAATAATTCCAAGAATGCGGGTAGGATTATTTTGAGATTCTGACCGCAGACAATTGCTAAACAATTTTAATAATATATATTACAAGTTTTATTTACATTTGCATTATGAAGTTTTTATTCATTGGTTTCAAGAATTTCTGATACATTAGTTTCATTGTTTTTAAAATTCTTATATAATTGATATTGTGCAATTGAAATTGATATTAAAATCAAATATTTATTCAGAAAATTATTATTTATTGCGTCGACCACAGTCTTCAGTGGTTTTGAATTCGATCAAAAGGTATTTTATTTTATCACTTTATTTTTTAGATACATTTTAATTTGGATTTACTGTCTTGCTTTTTGATGAAAAAAAAATTAAGCATTTTTCTCGATTTTCCATTTATATTTTTTTAATGATTCATTTAATTTATACAATTTAATATTGTAGGTTATTTATTTTTTTAAATTAAATAATTAAATTAATTATTTGTTGAAAGAGTTTTTTGTTAAATATAGGCTAAATATGCTTCTTAAAATCACGTTCTTACTGATTAAAACGGGAAATTTGTAGTTTGCTTTCTCAAAAAAAAATTTTTCCCTTAGGATAATGAAGAAGACTATAATATTAAAATATGTTGAATATATATGAATATTAGAATAATACTAGAATACTGAAGACTAGAATATTAAAATATGTTGAATATATATGAATACTAGAATAATACTAGAATACTGAAGACTAGAATATTAAAATATGTTGAATATATATGAATACTAGAATAATACTAGAATACTGAAGACTAGAATAAGTGGATATTCAAATTTTCAGCGGGGAATGCAGTTATTAGCAGTTAATACATTTAATACATTTAATTTCGAGTTCTTGAAGACTCTGCTTTTTTCTGATTTCTTTTGATTAACTACATTTAATAAAATATAATCAAATTGTATTGCAGTTCTTCTTCTAGTCGATTCAGCTCAAGTCTTACACCTCCGCCGATTCGTTCCATTAATTATTATAATCGAGTTCGTTATATTTGTCATTGTTCCATTTTTACCTCGAACACATTCCTGAGTGGTTTTTTTGTTGCTTTCTTTTACTACTTTTAGGTTTTGAAAACCTTAAATACTATGATTTTTTAAAACTTTTTCGCCTCGAGATATAATTTACCATTTGTCGACTATTTAGGCTGAAAACCAGATGTTAAAATCTGAGGATTCGTCGAGGAATTTATCGCAAGATGCAATATTTTCGTCAGTTTCTTCTGAAAATTGCAGAAACTATATTGGTTCTGTAATTTCAGGTTTAAAAACTTTCATTTACTTTGATTTGCCTATGTTTTTAAATTGTTTTCTCTATTTATATCTATAAATATTAATAAATATTATTGATAAATATTTTTGATATTCAATGTTTCTTTTTCTTTTGGTAATCTTTTGCTTTGGCATTTCCAATAGTCAAACTTTTCTCATTCGTTGCATGATGCTCTATAAATTTAATTATTACACAGTTCCAACAGTTTATAATCGTAATAAATAATCGTAGATAATAAAATCGAATTTTTTATGAAATTAATCTCTTGTTAACCGATTATCATTAATTTCTATGTTTTTGTGAATGAAAAACAGTATGGAGTTCGTAAACTTAGGGTTATTAATCTTCTCATTTTTAACTTTAATTATTGTGACATTTTTTTCCTATTGTCCTTTGACTGTATCGCTCATCGCATTGATCTTCAATAGATATTTAAGTTTATCTCTAGTTGTATACTTACTGCAGTTAGCTTTATTTTAAATGTATTTTTATAAAATTAAAATGAAGGATATATATCTAATAATGAGAATTTTAATAATTACTTTTTAATAATTTCAATATTTAGAGGTTAATTTTTTTATACTATGGTACTAGAGAAATATTAATAATAATCGATTTAAAATCGTCTAAATTGCATTTTATTTAAACATTTAAATTTCACTACATTTTTATACTTTAAGCGCTATTTGAATTATTTTTATCAACAGTTATATTTTAAGTTCTATTTGATACCTTTAAGGGTCATTGAAGTTGCCTTAAGTAAATAAATTTATTTATAAATTATAAGTAAATTTATATTAATGAATTTTCTTATAAATTTAATAAATTTTGAATAAATTTTAATAAATAAACTTTTTAAATACTTTAAACTTTTAAATTTTTAATTTTTATATAAATTAACTCTTAAATTTTTGAATAAATTCAATAATTTTAATCAAATTATTTTAAATTTTCATAAGTAAAAAAATGTTTGAACTAATAAATAATAAGTTCCAAATAATAAATGAATTTAATAAATTTTTTATGATTGAATTTTTTATGATTTATGAAAATCTTATTTTGTCTTTATTTTTAGAAAAAGCGGATGAAACTAAGATATCACAAAGACCATACGATATAGCAGAAAATATCCACAGTATATGTAACTTCAGCGATGATCAATCGGTATGAATATATGAATTTCTTTATATTATTTATTTTAAATAAAAGTTCGAGCAAGACAGTAGCGAAAATATTAAAATAATAGCTAAAACAAAGAAACTATTGTAAATAAATATTTATTAAAATGGACTAAAGATGTATTTCAATAATATTATGGATACTTAATTAACATTTTTAAAATCTGATACTGATTATGGTGTGAAAAAAATGGTAGGGAGCAATTTATTCCAATAGTTATTATTAAAAATAAAAAAATTTAGTTTGATTTATTTATTTTTTGATTTATTTATTTTTGTTTATATGAGTATTTTTTTCTAGAGATATTTTTTTCATTATTATCATTATAATCGGGTTGATTTTATAAGACATGAATTTAGCGCATAAATTCGACCAATTCTTCGGTTAATGTTGAACCCACACCTTCATCTGCTTCCAGTCTGTTTCATTCATCGAATGTTTGTTCTCTCTATGAACAGTCTTGTTCTGCTACTACGTCTGTGGATATTGCTGAACGAAAGGAAGATCCGTTCGAGGTTTTTTTTATAATTTCTTTAAAATATTTCGTAAAAAATGAATTCTCGAAATTATGAAAACGATTTACAGGTTCCATTGGTGGTTAAGAATATTGCAAACCGTGATCGCTATAGTCAAATGTTTATGAATACTTCAAATGATTTAGTATGTCAAGTCTTTTTATTTCCTTTTCCAGTTATATATTTTATTTTGCATCCGAAACATTTATTGTTAATGCTATTTCGATGAACGGTCGGATATGGCTGCATATAAATTGGAAATTTAAATAAATTAAATTTAAATAATCGAAAATATTATAAGTATATGTCAAATGTGTTGGTTGGCCATGTTTTATTTATACCAGTAAACTTTATTTGTAACTTTGTTTATTCTAATTATTTTTGTTTTGATTAAAACCATAAGTGTAGTTTAATTCATTGGATTTCTTTAATAGTCATGAAAAAATAGTTATGAGAAGGTTCAAAATCGTTTAAATTTTATATTATAACTTATTCGAAATGGGTGAATTTGAGATTTCACATAGCCATAAATAAACTGGGTGAATTTGAGATTTCAGATAGCCATTAACTTACAATCATACAATCGTTTTAGAATTCTACGCCGATGATGGCGAATTGTTTTTCCTATTCAAATCCTGAATGTACAACAAATACGCCAGTGGCACAATCTTCATATCGAGTCCCATTCTTTTGGCAACCGCCCAGCCAATCTACCAATCCAGCAAATAATTTATTAACGAGTATTGGAACTACTCCGACATTGGTCTACGATGCTCAGTGTATGGTTTTTTAATGATAATCTTTTCAATGACTTATTGATTTGAATTGAATTATTGACTTAAAATTTTAAATGACATTGTTTATTCTATTAATTTTATTTTTTCAGTAAGTGCAAAAGCAATTCAAAAACAACAGAATAGTCCAAGAAACATCAATTTCAGTGTAAAAAGATTATCGGTTAATGAGAGTACTTCTGGCGAAATATTGCAGCCAAAATCTAGTCAACTAATTCAACGAAAATCTTTCGTAAGTTGCGATTTAACTAAATCATATCAAATGGCTGATATAACGGCAGCACATAGACCTAACATTAGCTAAAGTTTTTTGTTAAATTTTAATATTTTTTGAATAAATTTAAAAAGAAATATGTGTGATATATTTAAAAGTTTTCTTGGCGCTTTATTTCTTCATTCGTCTTGATTTATTAGTTTCGCCGTTTATTTCATTTATTAAAATTTTCTGGCGTTTGCTAGTTTCAGGTACAAATATAATCAATATAAATAGTGTATTTTGCTTTGTCCTATTTTTGAGTTTTTCATTATTCCTATAAACACCATCTTTTTTAGATAAATGACGAAGTGCTTTGCATGTTTGATCCACTTGTCTCATTACAATCGACAGTAAACAAGGCAGAAGGGCAAAATTGCTTGGAAATAGTTATGAAGGGCGCCACTTTTGCTGGGTGAAAACGTTTTTTAAGACAAATTATGTCGTGAAATTTATGAAAATTATTAAGATTAATGATTTTCCTATCCAATTTTTTAGGCGTGAAAGATGCGAACAAATGTTATTTAAATGTCAAAATGATTCTGCACAAGCAATACGTGAATTAAAAATTGATGAATTAATGTGTATGGGTGTTGCGAAAAATCGTTCGTTAGCAAAAATTGCTTTAGAGGATTGCCGTTGGAATTTGAATGATGCGGCAGCTGCGCTGATTTCATGAGTCTATATTCTTTTGATTGCATTTCAAATTTTTTCAAATTTCTGTATTTTTGTAATATATTACCAAAGTCTTTAATCTGAAAGCTCTTTAGTTTGTGTAGAATTATGAACTTTGTTTTTTGGTCCTACTATGTTATTGTTATTTATTAATAATTGCATTTGCTTGTTCATTTATGGCATTTATTAGCTTAGAATATATATTATAGATCAAGCGGTACTTATTTATCGGATTTTCGGAAATTGCAATTTACATTATAATTAATATAAAATAGTATAAAAGAAAGATAATATAAATAACTGCTTTTAATTTGAGCGGTATTCCCTCAGTAAGTCAATTAAATTTGAAAAAAAATTTGTCTAAAAAAACTTTGAAATCTGTTCAATATCAATAAAATAATTGTTTAATAATTATTTTGAGTGTTGCCATCTATTTTTGATCAGAAATCTGGTTTTCCTTAACATTCCAGCTAATATTTTATGAAAATCATCGCTTATATTTCTGGTTTATAAAAAAATGTTGGATTTTTTATTTAACAATTTATCAATTTAATGGTAGATGAAGGCTTCATTTATTATTTCTATATGAGTTTTTATGATTTTCTGGAACGTGAAATCTAGGATGGAGAAATTCAGAACTGCAGTCCGTAGGCATTGGTCTTCATTTGCTTTATTCTTCTGGATTCTTTTAATTTTCTTGAAATTTTTTTTCTTTTATTTTGTTATATTTTAGGTTTCTTATCAATTTTATAAAATTTTTATTACTAAAATTATTCGCGAAATATTTCAGATAATTCGGGAAAAGCTTTTTAAAACTTAATTTTTTGGGCAATTTTCATTATAATTATTTTAATTAATATTTTTCTTTTTCTTTTTTCTTAAATATTAATATTAAAATATTAATTATTGAATTGCATTTGTTCATTTATTTACTTATTTTGAAATATTTTTTCGAAATTTTGAAATCTGCTGTATAGTTGTATATGTAATATCGTTTTTATCCGTGATTTATCGGTTCGTGGTGGATGTTTAGATGTGATTGTGCATACTTGATTGAATAAAATAAAAATTTTTTTTTTCTTGTCATAAAACTTAAAAATGTAAACTCTTCTTTAATAACAAGTAAATCCAGTCAAGCCAAACCGGATTTGGTACCAGCTGCCGGGAAAGTGTGGTGAAATCTCGTAAGAACCTATGCATTCTCACAAGGAAGATATGGATCGCGATTAGCCTGTAGTGGAAGTATCAAATATCAAATGATACATATTGGTAGAGAGTTTCAGGGAATGAATGATAATAGTTGTCGTTCCAGAGACTAGTAAAGAATGGTAAGGCCACTGGGTGAGGACAAGAGGAGTGAGTTACATTCAGGTTATTTAAAAAGATTGAATATATCATCAATGGTGAATTAATGGTTGGTGTTTATGACTCAACTATACCCAAGTTTTTTTCGTGATAGTCGATGTTAAACCTGGAATATTGTAAAGAAGAGAAAGTATTTTTTTTTTTAAGGAGTCCTCACCATTACTGGTTAAATTCGCTCCGCTGCCTTGTCACATTGGACAAATATGCCAGGGAATCACTTGGCTGCAAAAATGCAGTTGAGTCACCAGCATCATCGAGATTTTCGGACAGGTTTACTTCTGTGGAGGGCCTCAGCATCGGCGCTCGAAATTTAACAACAATCCATTGAAACCTTGATTATCTATTGCGCAGAGCATTGCTTCATAGGTTTTTACGGTTGATAACGATTCATTTTCCATACATTGATTCAATTAGAAGTGGAATGGCTCAGCTGGTTTTTGCTGCCATTTCTGTTCGTCTAAGTTGAGGTTCTACGCCCTGCAGGAAGTAAAATTTAACTTACCTTTTAAAAATTCGGATGATGGTAGCGGCCCACTTGTAATTGCACCTTCATTTCGGAGCAATTCTCAGGCAAAATTTATTTGATTCGAGAAGTTGGCGAAGCCCAACTGAAAATGGTGAACGCTCTCTAAAAAAATCTGATTGCTTAATTCTTCCCGAAAAAAAATAATGAATTATAATAATTATTATAAGTGAATTATAATGCAAATAATAATTTATCCTATCTAAATTGCCTAAAATTACCCAAAATTTTAGTACAATTAATAATAAATAATCGTTTTAAGCCAAATAGTATTGCGAAATTTAATAATGATCACCTATCTATTCATAAGCTTTAATGAGTTGTTCGTAATAAAAGTAATAGTAATGGCTGATAACTTTACTATAATGTTTCTGGCAGTTATTACGAAAATAACGATGTATTTAAGAGCGGTCGCTACCCTATCGTTTATCTTCGAAATTATTGTAGCTGAACAATTCTGTAAGTATTCTTTTCTTCATTGTAATTTAATCCTTTTGTTTTTTATCAAAAAATTTTAGCAAATAATATTTATTTTTATCAGCTGATTGGTGATAATTCGGAATAAATTCGAGTCGAAATTAGGTTCAATGGCTCTCAGTGGCTCTCCGTGGATTTATCATTTGTCTATCCCATATCGACTTTTAGTTAAAAGAAGATCGAAGAATATTTTAAAATTATAAATTTTTCGTTACGCCAGGTGCACTTACACCAGTTTTGCACAATGTGAACAAACATCAGTCTCTCGGATCGACATATCGCAAATTTCTTCATGAAGAAAAAGATTGTAAGAAAAAGTGCGAATTAGATGCGACATTCAATTGCACGGCGATCCTCTGGGCAGCGGCAACAACTGGTGAATGTTATTTGATGGATAAAGTCGATCTCACCAATGATATATATCGTGATGATCAACACTATACACTTTTTGTCATGAAATGTGATGGACAAGGTTGTATTTAAATAAATTTCTGATAAATTTAATTTTTGATAAATCAATTCTGATAAATAAATTTCTAGTATTTTCTTTAATGAAATTTAATGTGATCACAAATTTACACAGAACAAAATTCTTGGAGAGGAAATTTTTATTTTTTTTACCAAAATTATTTTCATGAATTATTCTAATCGAAAAAAAATATTTTGCAAGAATTTTTGCTACGCAACGAGATTTATTTCCAGATTTACCCGAAATTGGTTTTTCATTGTTTTTGAAAGCGCAAGAGAACGTTTCACAGCCACATGGATACGGTTATCGATCTCCTGGTAAGCCGATTAGATTAGGCACCGAACAAAGGATTCCTTAATTAATTATACATTGTAACATGGAGTAATCTGCTGAACTTATGAAAAAAATTTATTGTCAAATTAACGGTGGAGAAAATCTTTAAATTCTTGATCCACTCATTATTTTTGGCTTCTTCTACTGGCCCTATTGGCTATTCGAAACCAGGTTTCTTCACCAAAGGCCGTATCGGTGATAAAAAATACCATTCCCACACCATAAGATTATTACCGTCAAACATAGCAGTCCAATAGGATGGTGCTTGGCCATAGCTGGGAAAACATACTACTTGGCCATCCTGTCCTACAAGTGTAACGATTATTAATGACATGTAATGATATAGTATAATGATAATGATTATTAAGCCCTATCCTTGTTGGCCGACAAACATAAACTAAATTTCAATAAAATTAATAGATAAAAAATAGCTTTATGAGGAAAAGTAGGATTACTATATGTTATAAAACTGAGGGTTTTAATATATTTTTAGATTTTAAACTGAACGGTTGCATTATTTAATGAGATTATATAATTTTATGGGCTTTTTAATCTATTTAATTTATCATAATTAGTAATTTATTGGCAACATTTGGCTGAATTTAATGTTTCTGAATCGAATTTCATTAGTAATAGATTTATCACAGAAAATTAGTGATATCTCTGCTTAATTATCCGAGTAACTAAAGAAAAAGTAAAATCGTTCGTTCATTTTTTTTTTCTGCGAAAAATTTCCATAAAAATAATAGCAAAATAAGAAAGTGCATGTGTCATCTTACATTTCATTTTGGCAGTGCACTATAAACGACTTCATAAAATGGATGATCGATTTTAAGGATTGATTTCTGAAAAAGCTTGTCGTGAATTTTGTGCAGCGAATTATGAAGGTGTTAAATGTTCGGCTTATGCTATTGGTAACAAACCAATATCGCAATGTTTCTTATATTCTGAATATCCACACAGCACTGGAAATGGTTCAATGACAATTTATCGTAAAGTTTGCCGACGATCTCCACGTCAGTACTTTTATCGATATATTGAAATTTATCAAAATTTATCAGTTTTATCATTATTTAACAACTAATGATTAAAATTTTTGAAGTCAAGAAGGGCCTTCAAGACTTTTGAACAAATTGTTGAGACGTATCTTTGTAAATTTACTTAAATAATTACCAATAATAATTAAATAATTAGCTTAAATAAAATATATGTGGCGTTAGATAACTGCCAATATACTGTGTGGTCGGAATGGACAGTTTGCTCCGCAACTTGTGATGGTGGTCAACAGAGTCGTAAACGCGAAATCTTGGCCAAGCCATCGAAAAATGGCATTCCTTGCTTGGAAATTGAGAAGATTCAAACAAGGCGTTGTGGTGAAGTGGTACTGCATAATTTCTCTGATTCTCTGGAAATTCAAACAATTATCATATATTAACATATATTAAAAAACAATTATTTTGTTCTTATGTTTGCTTAACAGTACAAAAAACAATTCGTTTTAGCTTTAATAAAATTTTGAAAATTACAAAAAATTAATAATTATTAGCCTTGCCCTGGTTGCACATATGGTCCGTGGAGCCAATTCAGCGCATGTTCTGCTAGCTGCGGTAAAGGAACTATGACTCGTACGAGAAATATCGTTCGTTGCGCTTTTCAAGAAGGAAAACGTTGCAATGAAACCTATCTTCGAGAGATTCGGGTAAATATTTCTAATTTGAGAGTAGAATGGCTCAATGCGCCGTTACTCAATTTGTAACGCTGATGCTGAGGTTCTACTCCCCACAGGAGTAAGCCTATCTAAAAATCCGGATGATGCTAGTAACTCATCTGTACTTCTATCGCCAAGGCATATTTACACAAACAAGCCAGCGGAGCAAGTATAACCAGTAATGGTGATCACCTCCTTAAAAAAAATCTAATTATTTATGATTATTTACGATAAAGGTCTTTAAGATAAGATAATTTTGGAAAATTTAATCGTATTGTATGGGCATTACCAAATTTTTAGTATAATTTATCAATTAGTAATTATTAGTAATTATTGCAAGGAATTTAAATAATTTAATTTTTTTTAAATTCGTGCCATTTAATAGCCTTGCGATCAAACTGGAAGCAAAGGATGTCCACTGGAATGTGCGCATTCAGATTGGTCCAAGTGGTCACCATGCAAATCAAACTGCTTGTTATCACGAACAAGAAACCTTAAAAGAGATAAGTACATGCGTCATTTTATAAATGAATCCCAGTAAAAATCATAAATATTATATCTTATGTTATTTCTCTTTATTTCTCTTATTTATTTATTTCTCTTCTCATTTCTCTTTTCATAGGCCTATTTATTTGATATTTTTAAAAACTTTTTTATCAGAAAATGGATTTTTGATTTTGATATGACTATCAGTTCGTGCTAGAAGAGAGACCTTATGGATCTCTGATTTTATGATGAACTATTAAAATTACTGACAATTGATGATGAATGACAATAACGCTAAGGTCTCTTTTTTAGGTGAACCAACGCACTGTCGCCATTACTATGGTCCAGTTTCAATTCAGCTTAATTGTGAGAGAGATGATTGCGAATTTGGTAAGTGCAGTTATAACATAGTTCCCTAGAGGCGAATAATGGTTAAATGCCCTTTAAAAAAAGTGGTGAATAAATGGTTATTTTTTTCTTTTCTGGAGTAGAGTAGAGTAATCATTAAAATTTCACTAAATCCAATAAATTTGTATGTGATGATCAGTCTTAACATATTTTTTAGAGGATGAAGCCTTAACGACAACTACTTCACATTCAGGTTTTATTATTATTTTATTATTATTAAATATTATTTTTATTTGCATAAAGAAAGCAATTTTTTAAAAGTTCAACATTTCCACAATTTCGCTCTACCAGTACATTTTAATCCTCATTTTATCTTGTTCCCATGTGTTTTTTTTTCCTTATGGCTTTATGAGAATGAAGCTAAGTATTACTCGACAAGTATTTTCGTTGGTGATTACTGAATTAGAAAAATACTTTAAATTTGATACCTAATTTGATACAACTGATTTCACTTTTATCACTGGAATTTATCATTTTCGATGCATTATAAATTCGATAAAATATTATAAATTTTATTGAAACCACTCCACTTTTTAGCAATTTCGTTTATAGCTGATGAACTTACCACTGATGAACCTTTTGCTCAAGGAATAAACCAGTGGACACCAAGAATTGAAACAAGTACGCTTCTTTTGAATTTTTATTGAATTTGAATTTTGAATTCGTCGCCTTTATGCGGTATACTTGGATTTACTCAAATTTGACCCAATTCGTTTCAGTTGAGCCTACTGCGATTGATCTTGAAACCACATCAAGGGCACGATTCTTGCCTATGAAGGCAAAATGTGATTTTTAACACTTTCTGATTTGAATACGTTTACCTTTTTATACTCTTGTTTTAATATTTATTTTAGAATTTCCATATTTAGTCCACTACCACCACCACTGTCAACTCGAACGTGCTATCTGACCCCATGGAGTTGACGAACTTCAGATAGGTAGATAGCCAATATTAAACAAGATTAATTCATGTTTGGAGAAATAAAGCGCTGAGCACCGATCAAAAAATTAAGGGATTTGCAATCCTTCTTCGTATCAGAATTTCATAATAATAAAAATAGAAAAAATAAAATAAATGTTAATAATAAAAAACTTTACATGATAAAGAAAAATTTGAAAAAATTGAAAAATTTTGCAAATTTTTCTAAAGATGCGAAATAGAAACCATCCTTTAATCCTGAAAAATTCGTGAAATCTTTAAAAAAATTTTTTTTTATTGACTTGTTTTGCAGCTCAAATTGATGAATTTGTTGTTGCTGAAGCAGCATCAATTGAAATTCTTCCAAGTATGGCTATTTTCTTTATTATTTATAGAAATTAGGGATCTCTGGCTTAGCAATGAAATCGTATTAATATTAGCAAATTATAGATTAGGCTGACCAGCGATGAAAAAGAATTGTCGCAATATTTTGCAAAAAAGGTGAAAAGATGAAAAATTTTTTCTAAGAAAGAGATTTTCTAATGGAATGAAAGAAATTTTAGAAGAAATAGAAGAAAATTTTTAAGGCTTTTAGGAGAACTAAAACTTAATTATTTTTATTTTTTTAAATTGTTTTTATTCTAAAATTATCTGAGTTTATGTAATATATTTATGTGAACAACTTTCTTTCTACGAAATTTTACTTGTAATTGATGTTTTTTCCCAAATTCCTCGGTTTACAAAGCCATTTTATGGCTTACAATTTTGCAAAAAACCATTAAAAATTTATCTTTTGCATTCAGTGCATTATGATTTTTAGCTGAAGTTGATCAGCCAAGCGCACACGAAGCAGAACATGAGATTTTCTTCTTTTCAGTTTATCGTCTATATTTTTTTGACCAAATTTTCTTTTTCGTTAATAATTATTGGAACCATTAATATTATAGTAGTGGCATTTGTATCTGGCATTTTCAGTGCGACCCGATAAATTTTCATCTGATGGCAGTGATTTCTTCATAGTTATCATTTTATTTTATATGAGTGCTTTTTGCTTAAGAAGATAAATTTCTAACAGCTTTCACCCTTACTGGTTTGGCTGGTTACACTGGCTACAGACGTAAGCGTTTCCAGGCTATCCGATGCTTAAAATAATTTTTAGCACTTGAATGTAAGATAGAAGGCGTAGATCCGAGTTTACACTATAGTTCGAAAGGATTCAAAGGAGTTGGAGTCCAAAAAAATTGTGCAAAAAGATGCGCAGAAGAGCGAGTTTTCAAATGTGAAGCATATGTGACAAGAGGTCTTTTTTTTTCGACTTAATTTTTGATGAATTTCTTCTCTAATCTTTAAATTAGTTTCAAAAAAATTTATTTCTTGCAAAAATTCTACACAAACGATTTGAAGTCCTTATTTCTGTTGGCCGTAAGCAATGCAATGGATTCGATTCTTTTTGATTCGATTGACGCAAATTAATGTTTCCTCAAAAATTGAGGTGCTAACAGCTGTTAAAAACTTATCTATCTGTTTTCCAAATTACTCGCAAGAGAATATGTCATTTAAAAAGTTTCTGTTAGCAAAATTCCGAGACTATTAATTCGCAATCTCCTTTTTCGAGCCAATTTATTCATAATAAAAGATTTTAGGTGAAAATACGCCATGTTTTTTGCACGGTTTTATTGATAGGAAAATTTTTCTAAGTGAAGGCAGTAAATATTATTTATACGATCATCAATGTAGAGCAAACAGTTAGTTGGCACTAAAATTTTTGCTATCAAATCAATTATTAAAAATCTTATTCATGACTTGGTGCTTGGTACTGGAGATTTCCGATTGGTATTAGAGGCTCAAATAATCCTTGCAAGAATTTCTCCCAATGTTAATAACCAGTTGAGTAAACGAATATATTTGAGCAGTCAAATAAACAAATCAAACAAATATTTTTGTATTTCAAATTAACATTTAATTAATATTATTAGCATCGATAAAAATGATAACAATTCGCTGTTTGGATGCCGCAAATCTAAAATCATAAATCTGATAATTCCCAAATTCGAGTTAAGGAGAGTGGTGATTTCGGAAATTCCTCGTTGAGCATTTCATCGAATTGGCTGGGTATTTCCTTTATTCATATAGGTTTAATGGTAATCTAAGCGCGAGAGGATTTGAGCTTTGTATCCACTTACTCAAGTCAACGGCAAATCTTCAGGTCATTGCACCACTCAATAAAATTTATCTTTTGCTGTACTACGAAATATGGAAATATCAAGTTTCTTCATTCGCCCTTTGTTCACTTCCGATTTTCGAAAGATTACATTAGTTTTCTGGAATTACGTAAAGATATTCTTTTCTTTGAAAAAAATTATTCTCTTTTGCAAAAGATATCGAATTTTTTTTAGAAACGAAAGATACTGCCATATGTGAATGGCAATCGGTTGCGACGGAAATAGATTTGTCAACATATCCAAACAAGGAGCCGCTTGGACACATACGTAGCTCACAAAGATGCGGAACAGTTTGTCAGTTAACCTATCCTACGTTCGTACTTAAGAAAATTTGTACTGCATATGCGTATACTTTCAACTTAACGACGAACCCAGACCTCGATAACTGTTTCATGATCGATCACCAACGTTTTAAATCAGACGATGAATTAGATAAGTTATTAGTCCATGGATCTGGAACTTACAATGTTTACTTTCTTTCATGCTCATAAATATTTTTGTCTCGTAAAATATTGTCCCATTTTTCAAAACAATAAAAAATAATATTAGAATAAAATATTTCCTCTTTCCCTTGCTTTTTTTGTTGTGCCCTTTAACCTTTGTAACCTTATAACTTATCATTAGTTGCGTAAATTTCACAGAAATAAATGATTCAAATTCGAATAAATCAATGCTAATCAATTCATTTATGGTTTCAATCAAATAAAATAAAGGATGATTGGTAAAAGACATAGAAAATTTAAATTTAAATTTAAATTTAATTCAAATTTAAATTTGCGATTCGATAAATATGATCATAAAAAATGATGGTCATAGAGAATTTAAATATATTAAAATTTGAGATTCGTTTTGTCACTTCTTATTTTAGTAGGTTTGCTCAATTTGCCTGAGGGATCGGACAAATTCTGCTAGGCAATTGGAAAATGGCGATAGGATTGCAAGCACATTACCACTACTCTCTTATTCAAATTATAATATCGTCCTTGAATTTAATTTATTTGAGCAACTTTGATATCACTAAGAGATTTTAGACAAAATATATTTAATTTATTTTCATCAATTTTGTATTGTTGTTTTTTTGCTTCATATTCCAAAATAAATTTCTTTTAAGAATTATTAGTTTTACTTTAAAATAGCTAAAATATTTAATAGGCAATGATATGATAATTAAATCTAAACTTAATGTTTACAAAGTTTATAGGGAATTTTCTGCAATTCTGAGAATTTCTCTTTTTTGAATCAGAAATGAGCCAAATTTTGTGCTTGGTTTCTCTCCAAAACAGTGGACAGAGGATTTCAATCTAAATTGCGATTTTGTTCTTTAAAAGAAGTGAAAAAAAGCTCAAATTCGGTAAAAATTTAGTATTTTTGTCGTTTTAAAAGCCGTGAATATAATCTGAATTTTATGATTTTTAATTACGCCACATCAATTATATCAGTGAAAAAATTGAGATATATGAATATTTAGATAAATAGAAAACAATTAATAATTAGTATTTATTATTTTAATATGAACAAAATAGATTTAATAAATGCTAATAAAATTAGTATAAATAGAAAAATAAGTAATTTGAATAATTAATTGCATTAGATTTCCATTAAAATAGTTCCTTTTTTCTAAGCGAAACAGGCCTTTATGAAATTAGGTAATTGTAAAACTTTAATCCGTCCGGAATTAATAAAAATAGAAAAGAAAGATACTTTACAAGCATCATAGATCGAAAGACTATAGTTATAGAAGGACAAAGCTATTTTAGTTCAAAACTACCGATAATCATTTTGAAATCATCGGTAATCAATATTAGAAGATAAATAATTTATTAATTTTTTAAAAAGAACAGAATGGAATTTTATGAGTGATCGAAATGAAATAATGTAAGAAATCAAGTAAATTAAATACGGAATGGTTTGAAGCCTTAAATAAATAAACTTAAATAACAAGCATTTGGCAATATCATGAAGTATTTTCGGGGTATTTGAACCCGGCTTTTTCTAACTTATCAGCTGGTGATTTATAGACCGGAATTTTGGTCAACCTTGCCAATATTGCTGCATCACCAAGTTTTGACTTTTGAATATCAATATTTTTTGAGTAACTAAATAAATTAAATTTAAAATTTTAAAATAAATTATTAATATTTAATTAATTAATATATATTAATTATTAAAAACAAATTAAATGAAATAAATAAAGGAAATTTCTAAAATAATAACCTATTGTCGGTGTTTTAACGATTATTATTTATTCAACGATTTTTTATTTTATCAATTATTTGAAAAATGCAAATGCTTGATTATATAAATTATCAAAAAATCAAATCAAACCTTCTCATCCCATCTAAATCATCTTTCGTAAGGGGTTTCGGCTTGCCAATTATGCCCCGCTTTATAGCAGTACGTAAAGCTTGCATCGTATCTATATTGCCCTTGGATGTAAGGGGTTTGTCTTTGTTTGCATCCACATGATTATATGCAAGACTAATTGGACCATTGCCGATCATTTCGCTAGGTTCTTCTTCAACTATATCCACAGATAATGATCGAAGCCTTTTTTTATTCTATAAACTTTAGATTATCAATTTTAGCATATGGACAATCAATTATCGTATCGTATCCATCATGTGCAGTTTTATTAATAATATTTTGCTCATTTGTTTTTTTCGACTAGTGATAAAAATGAAAAGAATGATGAAATTTTCATAGTTTCATAGTTGCATACTTTTATTGGTGGAGAATATTTCATAGGTGGATACATGGCTGTAACTAAAGAAGAAGAAGCGACATCATCTGGCGCTGCTTGGAATCTAGAGAGTTTTTGTGTGCTGAAAATTGGTTGAAGATATTGGCTTATTGAGCTTTTTGCACCAGTATACATTTTTAAGAAAATATTGTAAAATATTTTGCGACCTTATCCTATCATTAAAAAATTAAAGATTAAAAATTAAACTTTCAGAATTGCAGAATTTTTAAAATATTCAATAGCCAGTCTACCAATTAGCTAGTCATGAAAAAATTAACAATAGGACTTAAAACATAGGCCTATGAGCTTTATCAGAATGCAAAATGAGTTAGCATACGATGCATAAGCGGCTCAGTGACAAGATAATTCGAATCCAGCCGACGCACCACTCTTTATTTTCCTGGTAAGCAAGGAAAAAAGAATAATTCAAATCGCTCTACTCCTAGCATAAATGAACCTGTCCTTAAAAATTCTGGGTGATGCTAACGACTCACTTATATTTCTATCACCAAGGGATTCCCTGACATATTTTTGCAGTCCAATAAGCCAGTGGAGTGAGTCTAACCAGCTATGATGAATGCCACAAGAAAGTTAGAGTTAAAGAAAATTTTAAACCAAAGTTTTGCGTAGGTTTATAATATTATTTTAAAAATGCTGCAAAAAAATTGCATTATTATTAAAGTTATAAACTAAAAATAATTATAAAAGTCAAAAGTAAACTAATAACTTAGCAATAACTTTTGATTGCAGAGGCTTGGAAACATACTTTGAGATCTTCGGTTCATTGAATCTCATTTTAGAATCGATAGGATTAACTTTTCCAAGATTCATTCTTTCCAGATTCAAATTTAATGCACTACTACGTCCTAATTGCTTCTGCGTTTTCACTTGTTCTTCTTCATCGGATTTATATCTTCTAAAATTCTCGGAAATATTTTTGATTGTTTTTAAATCGTTCTTTTACATTTGCCATGTTTTTCATTGTGTAAATATTACATTAATCAATAGCATACTCAACGGTTTTTTCGTGAATATCCTCAGTAGTTCCAAAATTTTCATTTAAAGTTTCGCGCAATGTTCGCATAGCCGGTTCAGTAAATTCTCTTCTTCGCTCATCTTTATTAAACTTTGGATTGAATGACATTCTAGTGAATTCACGATCCATAAGAACTCCACTGAATTTGTCTTTTGGCCTTTTCAGCGGTGTTGCGTTTCCTTGTTGATCATATTCAATCTAAATAATCATCAGTTGATTAACCCATGCTTTTTTCCTTAAATTTTTCCTTAAAAGCATTTATCTAGTAACGCTCGCTTCCTCGCCAGTACTTGGCAATAGAAATACATGAGATAACCGGATCTTTAAGAAATTTGCACCGGGAATATGCGGGAATATAGCCTCAGCATCTGCGCTATTCAAGTGAGAGCAATAGCCCACTGAACCATTTTACCACTTCCAGATTAAGCGATCTTATGAACAGTCAACAATAATTTTTCAGATTCCCAACAAAAATAAATCGAGAATTCGCAGTTTTATTTATTTCACTGGATCTAATATATCAAACATTAATACCATAAATACCTTAGTTGAATTTGATTGGTTTTGCCTATCCATTGCTTCTTGGTAAGGAATAGAAGGCTGATGGAAATTTTCAGGAAGAGAAGGTGATGTAGTAGGTTCACACATGGATGGTATAGATGATAGCGGCGGTTGAGTTGAGAAAAAAGATGATATATTTGGCATAACCTAAAATTTACAATATAATTAGATTATGGACCATGAAATCCATTGTTCTCATTAATGCGAACCAAAAACGCAGGAATTTTGATAGGCACATTTTGATATGCAGAATATCCATAAAAAATGTAAAATGCTGAAAGATACCTGAGGATTCGACATAAAAACATTTAATTGAGGGAATTCGGCAGTATAATTTTTCTGAACTTTGCGAAGTTCAGGAGCTTTTTCGTACTGATCTGATGAACTATAATCGGTTGTATCCTGAAAATTTCAGTCATATAATTTCATAGTCTAAGGATCTCGTTTTCTCATCTAAGACAGCTTAAAAGAAATAAAAGCATGATGGTTTTTTGAAATCACTTTCTGCGATTTTTCCATCTCATATAACTAAGAAATTATTTAAAGTAAATTGCTAAATTCAAGGTAAATTGCAACTATGGTCCATAGGTCCATATGTCATCCAGCGGTACAAAAGTTTGGTGAGCATTAATTTAAACCAAAAATAAGACCAAAGGCTTATAAAATATCCTTAAAACTTCACAATATTTAACACACCTCAGCACCACTTTCTGGTTCAGTTTTTATATCAGAATCAATCGGCCTTCTTCTTCGATTTAATGTTACAATATCAATATTCTTTGATTTTGGGGGCAATGAACCAGATCGCAAATCAGCCAAAGTTTGCAACTGCAAAAAATTTTTTAGAAAAATTTCATTACGATAACCTTTGTAAAAAAACGTGTGAAGTGAAAATTTTCAATATTTCCTACTTGATAAGGTTGAGATGGATCAACTGGTTTTGGACCCGGAAGTTTGGCTCCAGATGCCGTCGTTTCATTTTTCATAATATTAGTCCGCTCTAGTGGCGAAGTCTGCGTCATTGAAGACGCTGATTCTGCAGCACTTGCAGAAATAAATGCTTTTGAAGTCGACTGTAAACAGGAAAAAATTATATATTTTGCTTAAATTAATTCTTTCAATTATGAAAAGATTTATTGAATTAGTCAAAAATTTTTGAGTTTTCTAAAAATAAAATTAGTAAAATACCGGCTGATTCGCCTGTGCATGAACTTCACCCGTAAGCCGGGATTCCAAAGCTTGTAACCTCAAGACCAACGCTTGAACTTGTTCAAGAAGTTCTCGATTTGCATTCAACAATTGGTGTGTTCGAGACTAAAAACGATTTTTTGAAGTTGTTTATTTCAATTAATTACTGAATAAAATTTTTGTATTTCTGGCAAAGCCGCACCATTTTAATTGCTTCCATTGTCTATCAGAGCGAGAATCACCATTGGAATCGAAGCATAGACGAGACATTTCAGGCGCCACTCTGTTTTTATTTTCAAGGGTACGTTCAAAGGATATGTGAGCTTAGCAAAGGCAAATAACTCGCTCAGCCACCAAATCCTCTATTTAATGAATCTTTTTACTTTTTATCAGTATTTTTTTTTGACTAATCTATTAGCAAATTTCATCAGTGATCATTTTTATGATCATTTTCCTTTGAATTTTGCTATCTTCTAACGGATATTTTTAAAAGCATATACGATAAATGCTATGAAATACGAGAATAAAATAATTTGCTACAGCATGAATTTTTAGGCTATATCATCCAGAATTTTATTACCTGTGCTTCAATTCTGGCTGTTGTTTCGCTGGTCAATTGATCTCTTAGAAGCTGCACTTGGCAACTGGCAACTTGTGCCGTTTGTTGAGCTTGATCGAGCTGTGATCGAATTAAATGTTGGTTATACTGAAAATTGGAAAAAACACTGGGTGAAAAAAAATGCTCTGAACTCTACAAATGCCAATGTCAAATGCCAATTTAACAAGTTTTATTTAGTTTATTTAATCCTTCTACGTCAGAAATTTTTCATTCCATTGGTCCATTTTCATAATCTAATGAAGCCAACAGACTAATAGTAATATTTATAGTGAAAAAGGAATGAATCCGGAAGCTTGGCGTGTCTGTAAATTCTATCGATGAAAAAGCGCAGCTTATAATATTGTCGTTTAAATTTACAGTTGAAAGAAATGCTAAATTGAAGTTAGAGGTTAGGAAATAACATCTTTTTCGCGGCCAAATTTCATAGATTTCTATCTCAAAGAAGCTTGTGGATTTCAGCTAAAAAGCTTCTGGCTTAAACAGTTGCAGTTTTAGTTTCGATTTTATTTCCGCCAAATATTCACTACTACCCACTTTAACTATACATATACCTTTAGAAATTAATATTATTCTTTCTAATCAATATTTTTTAAAATTTCTTTTTTAATTTTTAAAATTGGAAATCAAGGTACTTGATCCAGCGACATGCTTAGTTGAAGAGCAGTCGTATCTCGGCCGTCAGACATGCCCTCAGGATTCGGCGAGGTGTTTGCTGGTGCTGATGGCTTACAAGGAAGTTGTAAGGTTGCGTACGGTGACACCATAATGGGCGAACCCAATCCGTAAGGCATTGAGTTTGAAGCTGGTATGAAAGGTACCTAAATTAATCGCTACCATTATAACAATAAATGATTTCAAACCATTAAGAGAATTAAGGTTTCATAAGGCCGTATTTAGAAATGAGCCATAAATTTTACTTCTTAATTTTATATTTTAAAATTTTTACGTTTATTTAAATGAAGGCATAAATAATTATAAATTCTTAAATTCTTAAATTTAAATTTATAAATTTAAGGATAAAGAATAATCGCCATCCTTTGCGCAAAATAATAAGGCATTGAGTTTGAAGATGGCATAGTCAAACTAAATTAAGACAAGCTAAAAGATTAAGGATTTATAAAAATTTAAATTTAAAAGAGATAAATAAATGAGCGAAAGATTCGAGATTTTTTTTACTTTTTTCATTTGAAAGTCAAATTTTTAAATTAGATGTAGCATTTAACTTCAATATACATATAGTTAATCAAAAAGGAAGATTTTCTATCTGCATATTGCTTAGGCCCTCTCAAAAGCAGAAGGCGGATTCCCCAGAAAATCATGGAGAATGATAAGGTGAAGACCCTGTAGGATTTCTTCATTCAGACATATAAGCAAGTACCGGCCAGTCAAAAATTTTATGGTATAAAATATTATTATGGTATAAAATATGGTATAAAATAATATTATGGTATAATATTATTATGGTATGAAATAATCAAAAATTAGTACTGGTACTGCTAGATATAGCAATACCAAGCAACAGGAATATCTGGAAAAAACAGTATGAGAAATTAGAGAAATGCAAGAGGCAAGGGGTGGCTAAAAGAGGAATTACAGAAAACGTCGAAAGTGAAGGCCATAAAATGGTTATAATGGTGATAGGAGAATTAGGGATCCTGAACTGGCTTCAATACATTCCAGGAATAGTCCCAGAGACCTCTATCCAGAAGAGCGCACTGCTAAGAACATACGTGCAGAATCCTCAAGCTTCTAGGCATTAGTAGAGAATAATTATCGTGACCAAAGAGGATTAATGGAAATTTATAAAAAGCTATTGCTTTGCTATTGCTAAAGCTATTGCAAAATCAAACATTTTCGCACTTTTTTAAAATTTCGTGTTAAGTTTACTAATATTTTTGGTTAAGAGAGATAAGAGAGATTTCAATGGAGCCAAACTCTGCTGTATCAAATTTTTTACCACTATTCATTTCTCATATTCATTAAAAAATGATAAACAAAACGATAAAATTCAATCGTTTAAAATCATTAACTTACAACTGCGAAGAACTGGTCGCTGTTAAGCTGAAAGGATTAGACGCATTTGAAGATCCGAAAATAGGAGGATTTCTTATTGGTTCATTAAAAATACTGGGTTGCGGAGTATCCTTAGTGGCTTCTTTTCCTGTTTGAGTCGGATATGCTTCTTGAATTGATGCTTCAGAAATTTGTCGACTTTGGAACTGAAGTTATCATAATTTTTACAAATGTCACCGTTTTTTTTGGGAGAAATTTTTGATTTACATAAAACAAAATGTATAACTCGGTGAAAAAAACCACTGCGATATTATAAAACTAATAATAGGCAAAAAATGTTGGATTTCGAGAAAAAAAGGAAGATTATTGTAATGAAAGATATCCATTGCAAAGGTATCTATTGCCATTTAGTTATCTAACAAAGAAGTAGGAAGTTTGCCTAATAATCAGTGGAATGTGCAAAACCAGAAATTTTGAAAATTATTGGAAGAAAGTTTGCACTATTGGATTTATTAATAATTTAAATAATTTTAATCATTAGTGCTAAAAGAATAGGTCTTGCGGCAAGACCGAGAAGCCTTATGTTACATAGGCTTATATAGGTCTATTTTAAATTCAAAATGATATTACTGATAAAAAAAGTAGATTGATAGCGTTTCGTATATGTGATCTGCGATCACGTGCGATGGTCTTTTCTTAATCTTTTCTCAACAATGGTGGAACAATTTGCCGATTTATCAGCTCTTTTATTCTATTACTCTATTCCAAATGTCATATCTGTCAGTTATCGCACATCAATACAATTCGCGAAAACTTTCAGAATTAGTTATCAATGATATAATCTTATGAAAAAATTCGATTGGACGAAAAAGAAATAAGATTCAAAATATTTTAGAATGTTGCCTTGAAAAACTATGGCACGGAATGGAGGAAAAATTGCAAATGACTTTTTCAAGAAATCCAAAACGCTATTTTAGATTTCATATCAATATCAGTCGCGAGAAAGCTCAGCTTCATTTTTTTCATTTTGATTTTTCATTTCATTTTTTTCATTTTTTCATTTTTCACTATAACTAATATAATGTGATATAATATAAGATAAAGGGAATATAGAATGGCTCAGTGGGTTTTCTCAATTCGAAGCACCGATGCTGAGGTTCTACACAGAAATGAACCTATCCAAAAACCCGCGTGATGCTGGTGATTCACCTGTACTTCTATCGTCAAGGGAATCCTTAGCAGATTTGTCTAGTGCAACAAGCCGGTGGAGCCTAACCAATAATGGTGAGAGCTCTTTCAAAAATATGTCAATATCACATCAGTTTCGTTAACCAATCTATTCAAGATTTTTGACAATTGGAAATATGGCTGCTCATTAATGAAATAAATAATAAAAATCTAACAATTGATGGACGTCGTTGAGAAGTCGGTGCTGGAGGTGGAGGTTGAACATTAGTTAAAGGTGATGCACTTCGGGATGCTTCGTCGACCTTTGATAATTTTTCATCGGCTTCATTTCCATGAATAGATCCTTCACTAATTATCGAACCTAAGAAATGATATAGCAAATTCTATAAAATTTTAAAAAATTTAAAAAAATTGGTATCTAAAAATGATTGATTCTCATAAATCTCTCCAAAAAAAAAGCAAAGTGGTTTAAAATAAATCCAAAAAGAAAAAAAAAAGCGAATGAGCAAGGAATTTAAAAAGCATTTTTGAACTAATCTTTTTTCATATTATTCGAAGTATTACAAAAGTAATTCGTCTAAATTCTGCTCATAGGGATGGAATGGCTCAGTGGATTGTTAGTTATTCTTGTTTCAGAGCGCTAAAGTTTTACTTCCGGAAAGAATAAAGTTGGCAACGGTGCTAGCAAAGCACCTCTAATGTTATCTGCCAAGTGATTTATTGGCAAAATTTGTTTGGTTCGACAAGTCAGAAAATAATTGGCCAAAAATGATGAGCATTCTATGAAAAAAAACTCCACGAGAAAATTACTTTCGACACCCTAGATTTCTTTTCGTCGTATATATTTATTTCTAAATAAAAATAAAAGTTGAATAGCAAAAATAACTATGGGAAGATTCGGCGGCGAATTTTCTTTAAATCCCCCATTTTGACCAAATTGACCATAAAAATTTTTACATGTTACCTAATAAAATGAATAAAATGAATGAATAGTTTCTTCATAAACCTATAAAATATGAATTCTAATATATTTTAAATATATATTTCAAGTATGTAAAAAATTGATAATTATTTGTCCTCTTCCAATCTTCAATAGTCCAATAATCTTGAAAGAAGATTTCTAAGGGATTTTTGCCGCAATGGAGAGGAAAAAGTTTTATCACCTAAAAAACGATATTACCATTCGCGTAATGCAAGCTTTTTCCTCTTTTTTTCCTATATTTTCGAATCATTCGCCTTCTTTCAGCAATTTCTTCACTCCAAAATCCTCTTCTTGATCCATAATATCCGCCTTCAATAGCAGATTTTGTCATTCGTTCATCGTCCTCATCATCATTTTCAGAATAATCCATAATAGCCTCTATGGACTTCAGTGAAAGATAAGCATCAATTCCAAATTTTAATATCTCAAATTTTATAACGAAATATTTTATTTAATAGTAAAATTAGAACAAAAATCTTATAATTAACGAAAGTAGATATAGTGATTGATGGCAAAGCGCGAACAACCAATTAAGACTTGATCGGTCATAAAAGTTTTGTTACGGGCAGCTCAGCGATGAATGGGCTTAGGCGATGGATAAAGAAGTGGCTCTAGGTCTTGGAAACCTTGGAAGAGCCTAATCCTTGCAATCACCTGAGTCAGTCTAACCACTAAAGGTGCGAACTGTTAGAAAAAGAGTTAATAAAATACAAGTAAAATCATCGAACAAGTAACTACATGAATTAACGCAATGAGAATTTATCATCTAACAAAGAATAAGTAAAAAAATTATTAAAATTATCAAATATGAATCGAATTTCGTCAAATTTCGAAAAAGCAGTCAGTCATTTTATTAATCATTTATAATCCGAAGAAATTTCTTAAAATTTCATAAAATTTTTATTAAAATATTGTTTATTATTTTATTATTTATTTATTATTTATATAAAATATTATTTAAAAGTAAATAATCGCGATGCGAATATCTAATAAATTATCTTTCGTCGACCACAGTCAGCCAAGGTAAAGAACATTGTAATGAATAAAGAAGAACGCTGAAGCAAATGCAATCATATCTCATCAGTAATATTCGATCATTTGATCGATAAACAATCAACCACAAGTGGTGATCTAAAAACCGATTCAACGAATTGTTGGCAGTTTCTTTCGATATTCATATGTTCGAGAGAATGAACTTCATATTTTCATCAACTAACGTAAAGCTACTCAAATCAACATCTTTCATTGAATTTTCTATTCATATGACGATGATAAGTTCAGATATAATTGAACGCATCAAAAATGTATATGAAATTAAAAAAATTTGAGATCAATAGGTCAGGGAATTTGCTTCTGAACGAGCTGAGTCAATCTTTCAAGATTTCAGCTGATACTTGCCATTCACCTATACTTCAGTCGTTAAGCGACCTACTAGCAAAGGCCTACAAGCCAGCTAAGAAGCATAACCAGAAATGATGAGATACTACGAAAAAAAAAGAAAAAACAGCAATGAAACCAATATTTTTTGGCTTATAACTCAAGAATTATTATTTGGAAAATCAATTTTTTTTGCAAAATTCTTATTGTTGATGTAAGTCAATATGGTAGTTAAATAAACATTAATAAATTATTAATACTGAATCTCTCTTGATTCAATGTTATGAATGAAATTTGCATGGAATTTAATAAAGTGAAGGAACCACCAAAATTAGCTTGAAAAATAAAAATATGCAATTTGTTCATAATCAGTATATAAGTGGTTAGTGCTCACCATTTCCGGTTAAGCTCACTCCAGTGATTGTTAGTACGGTGAGAAGTTACAGAAGGTACAAGTGGGCCATCACTCAGGTATGATAGGCTTATGATAGGTTTACACCTGCCGGAGGCAGAATCAGCCCGCCTCGCTCTCAACGTGAAAATCTGAGCAACAATAACTCGGCTATCTTGCCTCCATCAATTTGTTCAAGGAATCACTTTTGATTCGAAATTAATGCCTTAAAGTTAGAAATGTAATATTTCACAGATCTTGACGAATTAAAAATCATAAGCCATAATGAAAAGAACTTTGATTGCCAGCTCAGTGCCAATATATATATATATATATATATCAAGGAATTTATTGAGGAAAAAATATAAGGAAAAAATGGAGAAAATGAGAAATAAGAATAAAATTGCACAAATAAGAAACAATTGGAAAAAATATATAAATATTTTTAAAGGACTGAGAAGAACACTGACTCATTTATCAATTCAATAAACTTACTTTCATGACTATGACTAAAGAAAATGAAGTTATATCGTGAAGTTCAGACAAATAGAAATAAAAAAAATCCGAATGAAAATCCATCTCTACCTTTAATCTCAAATGACTCTTCGGCAAAAATCTCTAATGATCTCTAATGTTCAATAGAAAGTGGAGTGGTTCAGTGAGTTGTTATTTTTTTGGAGCAATGAATCTGAGGTCCTACTTCTGCACGAGTAAATAAGGTTGGTGCTAATAATCTGTCAGTACTTCCATCGCCAAGTAATTCCTTGGCAGAGATTTCAACCTATTAATCAGCGATTCAACTAAATCTCAAATTCGTGGTGTTGAGAAAAATATTGTAAGATGAATCATTAGCAAAATAATAATTAGTGTTGATACCAAAATTATGGTAAAAACCAGTAAAGTACCACATATTAGCAATGTTATCAAAAATCTTTCAGTGAAATTGAAATTTGAAAATTATCAAAAATATCTAAAAAAGATAAATTTCTAACCTTTGCTCCTCAAATTATTATTGCTTTCGTTTTCTTCATGGATTTTGTCTTGCAATTGTTCTTGAGCCACTTTATGACAAACTTCAAATGCTTGACCAATTGTTCGCACGACACGCATTGCTTGACTCTAAAATTATATTCATTTATGATTAAGTGCTAAAAATTTAATTTAGGTAAATTTTTTCTTTATCTTTTTCGACAAAAGTTTATATTTAATTAGGTTTGACCTTCCTTAATAATTTTAGGCTAATTTATGCACCGGAGTCACTTGGCGATAGGAATATGAGTAGATCTTCAACAGCATTCCAGAATTTATTTTTGTATGATTAGAACCCCAGATGCAGCATTCCGAAATAAGAGCAACAGTTCAATGATCCACCGTCTCACCTATTTGATAAACTAAAGTCCAAAAATATGTTTTTTAAAATACCAAAATCCGCTTCTCTCCAATAATAAAACTCAAATATGAAACATTCATTAGTGATAATTGATCAATGATAATTTTCACCGAGTGATGCTGATGAAACCCTGGCAAAATTAGTCTGATCCGATAATGCGACGGAATAAGTCTTTTAAAAATACTTACTTTCACTCATTTTCTACTTTTTTTTCTTTTTCCTGCGAGAAAATCTGTAACTTACCTGCTATTTATTAGACCCAAAGTATGACCCAATAATTATCACATGAAATCGCGTCTATTTTTTCAATTTCTTCGTACATCTATCAATATTTGTGAAATCTCGGGATGGCTAAGATGGCTACTTAGGGATACTTTTTCAATAATAATTTTCTAAAGACTTTTTGCTTTGATGAATGAAATTTAATGTTTAATTTTTAGGATATTTTTCTCATATTCAACTTTCATGGAAATATTTGATAAAAATGGAAAAATTCTAACGAAAAATGGTTTATTAGTATGGTACTCCCTCGTATGATTTGCTCGTATAACATCTTTTGCTTATTTGCATTTCTATGTTGGTTATTCATTATTGCATGCATTATTTCTATTGCATGCATTATTTCGAATTCTTTGATAATGATACACAACATACATCAATTTGCCATTCCTTAGACAAAACTTAAACAGCTAAGATTCGGACGACTCATTTACCAAATAATTCGAGTTTATTTATTTTCTTACATTTATTATTCATTAATGAATTGCATTATTTATCTTCCAATTTTTCTAATTTTTATAGAACTTTTTTTAAAATTGATTTATTAAGTGAATTTAAAAAAATAAAGTTCCAAGAAAAAATGAAAATTTTGAATTCCTTAATTTTGCAAAGTCGTAAATTGTTTGTAGTTTCTTTTTCCTTTTTTTTCTCTGCAGTTTAAAAGCAGATCTGCAGATTGCTTCCATATAGTCGCATTAATTTCGACGATAAAAACTATTTCATTTGCTGGGGAAAAAATTTTTAGGTGCGAGAATTTCTGAAGAGAGAGAGGGAGTGAGAGTTTATTTTATGGTGGAATTGCTTTCATGATTGTCTTAACGAAGAGGTTATTCAAATTAATGATAAATGATTATTTTAATATTGGTAAAATGAAAATAAATTTTATTGTTAAGACACCTGAAAGAATTTTATTGTTTATTAGCAAACATTCGGTTGAAAATAATTTAATATTTTTTAAAACGGTGGTAATTTTTAAAAGATAAGGATCAGTTCGAGTTTAATTTCATTTCATTAAGAAATTTAATGCTTAAATGCTTTAGTTATCATAGGAGTTTAGATGTTAGAAAAAAGAGTGGCTCCAGTTAAATTCAGGCATTAATTTCAGATAGGAAGGCTTAGAAGCCTCTATCACCGATAAACATCTAACAGGATTCACTAAAGATAGTAGCTAAACCAGAAATATGGAAAGGTCTGAATGGTCTGAAGAATATAAAATATAATGCACAAATATTCTTTAAATAACCCACATAATTTGGTTGAATTTGAGCGTGAAATTAAGTCCTGAGCTATTATCAATGGTTGCTCAAATTGAAGATTAAAAAAAAAAAACAAATTAATAAAATTAACAAAAAAATCAACCGAGTGGAGGTCTTCTGCGCCTTATTTCTTAATGATAAATGGTACTTCTCGCTTGCGAAAATGGTACTTAATTCAGCCAGCAAAATGAGGAATAATAAATTCTGTTTGAAAAAATAAGTGTTATTTAGTTTGTTTCAGATTCAGAACTCATTTACTTCTTTAATTTTTTTTAGTTTGTTTTATTAAACAAATTTGTAAAAAAATCAACACAAAAAATCAACATTAAAATTTTACTAAATAATTGCTGACAAATTTCTGCAAAATTCTGCTAAATTTTCTTAGACATAAAGAAAAAAGTCTGGAAGTATGAATTTGATGAACTAGATGAAATTTAAAATTCCTCCCATCTGCAAATCATATTTATCCGTTGAAATTAAGAATTAGAGTGCTAAGTGATATGATTAAATAAAATAAAAAAACAATACTAGCCAAATCATTAAAATGTTTAAATAGTGGATTAAGAATTAAATAAAAATAAATTAAAAAGCTGAAAAGTGATGGATAATCGCAGAAGGAATATATCCTTCGCACTATATATTGAATAAAGATTTGGCCGTGTAGTTTTCACTTTCTTATTTTTTCTTCTGCCTTTCTAACCTTCCTTCTTATCATTCTATATTCCTTCGCAAATTGTTAAGCATTTTTATTCTATGCATTTTTCGCATCAAAAAAAATAAAGTGTGAGAAGTTTAAATCATAAACTGATAATTAAATTGGCAAGTTTAAAGTTCTTCAGATAACGAATTTAACAAACGAGTTAAGCGCTACTGAATAATATTTATATATCATATCTCATCTTAAAGCCTCATTTTTTGAATATATTTTTACACCCCATTTTTCATTTTGAATTCGCATGCTAAAAATCTAGAAAATTTTCTTAGTTTTTTAGTGCATTTAATTGAACAAATAATAAGCTATATAATAAGCTATATAAGTGAATTTTAACTGATTTCCGATTCCGATAGTTGATGAAACGGACCAAATGAAAAAATGCTGCGTATTCTTCGAAGAATAAGAAGAATAACGAGAGATAAACTGATAAATATGAATCAAATTTCAGTGCCGATGTTCCAAACAAGTATCAAATGAACGAGGCCTTTTTACGATACACCTCCATTAATTATTAAATAAAAAGGATTGGAAATCATGAAAATTAAAAATTCACCGTTGAAATTTGAAATTTACCTTTACCATGATAAGAATGATAATGAAGTATAGACGATTTATCTTCACAAGTTAATTAATTAAATGTAGGGAAATATTGATGAAATTAGAATGGTTTTACGAAATCATTACTTGTTGTATGTTTATATGAGATGAAATCTATGTGAGAAAAAAAGCATAGAATTTTTAGTTAGTTAGCCTCATATCAATTTCCAACCTCGAGATCATTTTCAAGACTGCTTTCTGCTGGAACAGGTGGAGCCCATCGAACGAATTTCGTCTTTATTGGCTCTTTTTTGTTTCCAGGTTTGGCCATTAAACGCAAATAATAAAAACGTTCTTCTTCCGGTAAGGCCTTCTCTTTCTCGGTTGTTTTTGGTGGTTTCATCCTTGTTTACATATAACCGAGCGTTTACTTCAATCATCAAGTAAAACTGGTAGATCGATGATATTCAAAAGTGAATAAGAAAGTTGTTCAATCCGTAATGATAATCAAAAATAGCAAATAGTAATGAATCTGATCTTTCTTTTATCAATAAATTTTTTTCAGCTTTTTTTGGCTGGTTTTTAGATAATTTTCAGGTGAATATATAAGCGAAAGATGTAATTCACTTTCGAAAGATCAACAAAAAAAACTTTTAAATGTTTTTTCACGATGAAAAAACGTCGTGCCTTCTTTCCTTCAGCATATTGAAGACAATATTCGACGAATAGTAATAATAATAATAATATTAATAATAATAAATAGATAAATAATAGATTTAATGAAATCTTCTCGAATTCGTTGAAGATCGTTTGATTAAAACAATTAATTAAATAAATCTGCAATTAGTCACTTGCATTGTTCGACTGAATTTGTCAATTGTTTGGCTCTAATCGTATATGCGTAACAGTCGTTTAATAATTAGTATAACAATAAGGATAATGAGTGGCATGATTATCAATCTGATATGATAACAAATAATAATATGACTTCATATTTCTATCAAATTGTAATTAACTTTAATTAATATAAATACTAATAATTTATTTAAAATTATTTAATATTTTTATGTATAACCACCTTGCTCGGACTCGGACAAAATTATCTTCAAATCAAAATTATCAAAATATTTTTTTCGATTTTTAAAATTAAAATAAAAAGAAACCTGTAGGAAAGTCAGAGGAGGTTTATAAAACATACGGTCCGTTGAGCTTTTCTACGTGGCCCACAAAGGCCTTATACTCCTTCAAGAACAATGAACGTATTTTAGGAATATCTTCAATTAATTTAATTTAAATCAATTAATTTCTCATTTCTCATTTCCCATATAATTCCCTTATGTTGCCGTTTCAGTATTGAAAAGAGATTCAATAAATCATTGTTTTTTTGTAAAATCATTCATGGTTTTCATATGAATTTATATATATATATAATAATTTGTTTATATATAATAATTATATAACATATAATAATTTTGTTATAAATCCGCACTTTTCCAACTTTTCTTCATATAATTCAACATTTTCAAGGGGCCATCGCTATTATATCAAAAATAACTCTCAGTATTTAATATTTAATATTATTTGATACATTGTGAAGGCTTATTTTATATGCCAAATGCGCCAATGCCAAAATTTTAAACGAGATTAAATTTGGAAAAGGTATATAAAAATTTCTCAAATAGCATAATTTTATAAATTATGATAAATTTTCATACAAATAAATATTGAAAAAAACTATAAAACTTTTTTAAGTTTTTAATTTTTATTCGAGTAATTTGATGAAAAATTTTAATGAATTTTATTCGATCTCTATTGATCAATTTTATTCCAACTTCACATCACATATTTTGACAGTTCAATTTTTATTTATTTTAAAATCATTTACATTTTCTTTGTTACAAAGTAATGTGAAAACTGAAGTAAAAGTTTTATGGCAGTTGTTTGATAGAAATCATCATCAATACTATTAATGTTATTATAATTGATTGATGATTAATGAGAAATAAATGAATGGCTCTAATTATTTTACAGTTGTAATGATCTGTTTAATTCGATAGTAATTAGGGGATTTTTTGTTTTTAAAAAGAGAAGGAAAATTAGTAATCAATGGAATAATGGATTTACGGATTTCTGGAAAGTGTTATTATGGATTTAATTTATTATGGATTACAGATTGTGTGGAATTTGAATTATATAAAATATAATATATAAATTATATATAAAATATCAATAAAAATAAAGAAAACGATATCAAAGATTTTTATTCCATGATTTAATAAAAATTAGTAAAATTGCATGAAGTCGAATGGGGTTCGAAAAAAAAAAGAAATCGAATAGAAATCCGAGAAATACAATGACAAGTGTAAATAGAGCCGTTGAGGATAAATATATTGGAAAATAATAAATCGGCTTTTATTTCCGATCTGCTCCGATTAGATTGCAATGTTTCTCAAAAACTAAGTCGTGATGATAATAAGTGATAAGTTATTTCGCACCATTTCCTTGAAATTTTTTTTTGGATCTCCATAAATTTTTTCTTTTTACTTAATCTCTATATTATCTCCTAGTAAATCTCCGCTTACCAGTTAATCATTTTATTTAATGCATTGACTCTTGTATTTTTTCCTAACGAACGTGATGCGCCTCCTTAAATTTTACAAATTTTATTCAGTATCAATTTACTCTATAGATTAATGTTTAACTGACTAAACTTGGAAATTTCTCATAGTTCGAGCAAAGGCAAAGTAGAATAAATCTAATGAAGCATTATTCGAAGAGGAAGAATTGGCACTTCCATAGTTTTGCAATATTTCATATCAATCATGGAATTTATATCAATAGAGATTATCATTGCTGACAGGAAAATGAGATATTTTTTGTGAAGATTTGAAGAATTAAAGATTCGAGATTGACTAGAAATGGAAAGGCTTTAGCCATTCTTGTATGATATATAGCATATGCACCGTTTTTGGTTAGGCTCGTAAATGTGGTGAGAAATTCTCGCCAGGAAATCACCTCATTATATTAACAGTTCGTGGAACTAGTTTAACTTAAAATGGTGAACGCTAACCGCATTGATCTATTAAAAAAATGGCTTGCTGTAAGATTTCCAATGCACGTAGGAGTCAATCTCGAATCTTTAATTCTAAATTGAATTTACAAAAAATATCATAACAAAAAAAAATATGAAGAATATCAAATTATATATAGAAAATCGCCTAAAGTATTGCAACGAGTTAAAAAAAAGTGAAAATTTTATGGCGAATGTATTAAGCCAAAAATAAACAAATAAATATAAAGAAAAAGTATTTGGTGCTAGAAATCCAATTTAGAATAGATAAGAGACGTTCCTTTTGATCTGCTTAGGATCTTATCCAGGCGATGAACGAGGATTTACGAAGAAAAGTTTGAAGAAGCACAGCTGACTTATTGCTCAACGATGGATAATCGTTTCACGGGCAATGAACGTAGATAACAAACGAATAAACACATAGAATTGATGAAGCACCAAGAAGATAGAGTTTCGCAAGGATTATATCATCCAAAGAAATTTGACGGCTCGAATATTAACGAGATAAACGAATTTAACACTACACAAATACACAAATTCTTAAAATAAAAGGTTTAGTGAATTTTGCAATTGCCAAGCTTATCAGAGGCGCCGCCACCCTAACGAATTTTCTTTGCTATACAATCACACTCTTACCAGAAAGTAAACTTTTTTTTTAACGAAATGCAATTATCAATATATTTGTCACGAACGACTAGAGGCGTTTAACTTATAAGTGTATGATAATTCTCGTAGATGGTTTAATGATAATTGATAATGATTATGAAACAAGTAAATCTTATTTCCGCTTCAACTGGCTTCACTGACTGCTTGGCATCATTTCGCTAAAGAGCCGTTTGTGAATAGATGGTATAGATAGTTCACCATTTCTATTCTTTATTTTTTATAAACAAGCTTACTAGATCAAATAAGCCTCAAACAAAACCCGACTTCTAAGTACCCTTGATAACAATAATTTGATTTTTTTTAAACTTTTTGATTTCTTTGATAAATTAATAAATAAGAGAGACAAATGAATAACTTTATTGGAAGACAAGAGTTGAGCTCCCTTTCTTGATAGGAAAAGCTAGCGTGCCATCAAAAAATACCCCACTCATACTCGTATTTACTCGTACTTTGTCACCAAATAGTCCTCTGGCAACCGTACCAATAGAGAACCTGACCAGAAATGATGAGTGTTAAGTATTTTCTAAATGGCTTTTTATTTTTTTATGTGCAGTTGTATCAAAAAATTTTGTGTTAAATTAATCTTTTATCCTGAAATAAGATTCATAATCTTTTTTCGCGATAGATTTCTTATCCGAATGATGTCTAAATGCATAAAAATAAGAATAATAAGAAAATAAAAAAAAATAGTGGAAAAACATGTGAGTTCTCTACGCGACAAAATCATAAGTACTGGTAATACTATAGCATCGCAATTTATTTTGGCATTTTATCCATTTATATATAAAAAAATAACTGAAAATCAACTGGATCGAAAATGATTTTCAAATCTTATCATACAATTACGCATGACCTGGTAGTCATCAAATTGTTCTTTATGGGGTTCCTGGATCCATAAAGATTCTCATAGGATATAAATTAATTCAAATTATAAATTCTTATTTGAATGGTAACATCATGTTCAATGCAGTTGATTTTATGCTGTAAAATCTTAGGCGAAAAAATGAAAACTTGGGTCCGTGGATTTTTCTGGCACCATCTAAGAAATTTGTGGAAAAAAGAGATACTGGCCTAACATCAAGAATCACAATTACTATATATAAGCGAAAAAGGTTTCTTTCCCCTTAAATTAAAAAAAATTTTAATGTAATTTGGTACCTAAAGAATAAAAATATGTGGACATCAAATATGTGAAGAATAAAATTTCTTGTAAAGCGCAAACAATATTAATAATTTTTAAAATTAAAAGAAGCATGAAAAAGATGTTCTCAACTTATCTAATGAAATTTCTAAATTTCTAACTTATAGAAAAGTATCCATTTTAAATAGTTTTTACTTATTTTGATATGCTTAATTTGCTTTATTTGCTTACATGCTCAATGCTTAATTTCAGAGTTATCTTTAGCCTCAGATTGATATAATTGTAGCAGTTGCAAATTGATATAGGAAGAAAAATGAATAATGCTAGGGAAAACTGGCATCTTAATCCTGTCAAAGCCTAAGCCTAAACTTCAAGAGTATTTCTTGAAAATGCGAAATCAGCTCAGTAAAAAATTGCTGGCAGATAAATAAATCTAATAAATATTCAAAATTAGTTCTTAAATTTTATGATATATAACTTTATTTATTAAAAATTCCAATTACAAATGGTAAATAAATGATAGCTAAATGATAAATAAAATTGATGAATATAATTTAAAATAAAAGAGGATAATTTTTTGAAAAAATTTATTGAGTTTACTGTGCGATTTGTCAATTTAATTTGTGAAAATTGGTTAATGCATCATAATTTGGATCATTTAATGCTCATTAGCATTGATTTATACGCTTAGAAAAGAAAAATGACTATTGGCTAATGAAAACTTAAAAATATTACTGGGAATCCATAAGCTTTTATGGCAAAACCTAAAAGATTTATGAAAAAGAGTGCCATGGATCTGTGGATTGTGCCCTGAATTGCACTATTTGACTATCATTCAAAATTAAAATTGAATAAAATAATATTAAAATTATCTCGGGATTTAGGTTCCAAATCTATTAGTAATAAATATCTCTCAGAATCAATTAGTGATAAATATCATTAGAAATTTTAATCCTAACTTTCAACAGTTGGAATGGATATCAAAGAATCACTGATCCAACTAACTATCGAAAGATATAAAATAACATATAAATAAAAATAGTATAATCAAAAAAGTGAAAATAGTTTAAAATAGTTTAATTGCGCTCCGATAGTGGAAATACAAAAACGGCTTCAGAATAGTTACTTGAAGGTCAAATGTCAAATGAAATCCATGATATGTAATTTTGTAAAGTGGTATTTTCGCTCATTTAATCCTTCTTAATTAATATTTTTTTTTCACCAAATCGTTTAATTTAAAAAAAATATGTATATATAGGAGTTTTAATTTTAAAATATATAGGAAATATATAGGATTATATTTCCGCTTCAATTCCTTGATTTATTGAAGAAATTTGAATATATATTCGCAATGATTTGGATTAATAGTTAAAAATATAAATTATAAATACGATTTAAACAAACAATAATTTCTGACAAATCGTAAGACGCGTGCAGAAACACAATAATTCCAACGAATGGCTAATTTTTTCTTTTCTTATGCAATTTTAATAGATGTCGAAAAAAATGAAACTCTTTTAAAGCCATTTCTTATCACTTCAAATCATTAATTATAATACTACATTATCATGATTATGGATAGGTGGCAGCCTTTATATTTAAAATTAGTAGCGTTCTCCTAGTTCTTTCACGGTAATGGTGTTGGAGTCGAATACCGAATATCATATCTGTAGATGAGCTTTGAAGAAGATATGAATATTCACTTTTCGATGTATCCTGAGAAGGACGGTTAAAGATATGAAAAAAAATGAGTTCAGAAGTACCTTTTTTGAGCATTTGAAAACATTGCATTTGAAAGTATTTGATGCACCATCTCTAGCTATATAAGAAAAGATTTGTAAGTCCTGAGAATCGTGAGATACATAAAATACCCTGAAATTATATGAGTATTTATTAAAAAAATACGGCCAGGTGATGCTGGCGATTCAACTGTACTTCTATCGCCAAAGGACTCCCTAGTATGTTTTCTGGTCAGACAAGTATGTCTAACCAGCTATAAAGAATACGGTGACAGAAATACGAGAATACGGTTATAAAGTGACAAATAATATTAAGTGAAAAATATTCTTGAATTCTTGGCCTTAATGAATAAAATGGTTATATTTCCTCCTTAATCAGGCTTATAAACGAAAGAAGACTCTAATAGTAATGTGTGAGCACAGCGAAGGTCGAGGCTTAACTGTTTTTTTTATGAACCATCCGCATATATTGTTACCATGCCTAATCTCAAAGAAAAAAGTAAAAAAAGTGAATTTCTTTTCATCCACTAATTGTCACTGTTGATTCCCAGCAACTAGCCAGGTTTCAGTTTTAATGAAAAGCTTATTTCCATTCATTTTTATGAACGGGCAATAAACGAATTCATGCTTAATCCGACTAATGCAAAATACGGTAGGGACAATATTTTGACGATACTTTTTTTAATAGATATTTGATAGGAAAATTAATCATTAATCATTTCTCCATTAATACTTGAAATTATATACCGCTACACCTTTTTTTTCTAAAGGTGATCACCATTTTGTTTTGGGCTCACTTCATCGGCTTCAGGTCAGGCGAATTTTTGTTACGCAGTCACTTGGCGATAGAGATACACATGGGTCATCAGTAGCTTAGATATTTTTCAAAAACCTACTACACGGGTCACTTTACTTGGGAAATAGAACCCCAATATCGGCACCTCGAAATGGCAGCAACAACTCCTTTTATCCCATTACCTTCTATTTTTTAAAATATTTATTGAATGAAATGTATGGATAAGAAATTTAGAGCAACCTGTGAATTGGATGAAACATAACGAGAAGTTTGCTCTCATCCCATGATGCTTCTTTTTGACTTTTCTGAAATTACAATTTTTCCAAATTTTTTTCCATCGGTTAAACATAGCAACTTGCAAAAAAATGATTTATTACCTTCTTCCTTTGTAATACAACTTTAATACCATCAACAGAAACCGTTATATCAACAGGTCTTTTCTTAATACCACGTGCCTTGAATTCATACTAAAAGAATGAAATATGAAACAGATTTAGCGTCGGCAATATTTAATATTTCACTAAACATTTTGTTAAATCGGATAAATTTAAACGATAATTTGAACTTAAAACAGAAGTTTAACTGAAATTTCTCAAATGTGACTAAATGAAAATCATACTCGAACTCGACGCATCGCAGCTACAATCTCAATACGTGAACCTGGTCGTGGAATTTCCATACTTCCAATATACTTAAATTTAATTTAATAGTATAAAGATTTTTTAAAGAAATAGTGGAAAATTATAATTTCTATCATTTCAATATTCAGTTGGTTCAAACAATATTTCCTTAATTTTCCTAGGACATTTAAATAATTATGATATTGGCACCGACGGTTATCGATTTCAACGATTATGTTCACCGATAAAGAAATAAAAGATCAACGATTCCCAAATTTAAGATTTGACGCTTTCCCCTTAGCAAAAGTTTATTTACATATTTACTTTTTACTTTTATTTATGATTTATTGTAGTCACAAAGAATTTCTGTTATTCTTATACTGAGCGACTAGTTTTGCAATTCTATTTTTAGTATTGAATTTGAAAATTTCCACTTTTTTATTGCAAACTTATATTCTCTTACGAATTCGAGTGAAATTTTTCGATGAAATTTCAAAATGGTTAAAGCTATGGTTTTTCGAAATGTGGCAGTAACGATTATTGCATGAAATTCGAGTTGGTAGATTAAAAATTTAGGTCATTCCATTAGCCATGGATACAGTGGGGACCACAGTAGCTCTCACGAGATCCGAGCAATTCTGTTAATCAAACACATTGGAAAACTGGATGAAAATACAACTAGATATACAAAGTTGTTTTAGCTTTTTACTTCATTCTCATTTGGAATTTCATTTAAAAACCATTTCGTAAATGGAGAGTGGATTTAGCCAAGCGAACGAACTTTTAATAAACAAAAGGAAGTAGGTCAAATACTGAAGAACGGGGAGAACTAATGAATCATGGACCTGATATAAATAAACATAAATAGACTTTCAAAAGACATTATGCACCCTTTCAAACAAATTTTTGGTTTTTAAGCTTTAAACTTTGAAACGTAGTGCTAGCCCATGGAAAAAATTTGATGACCACTGATTTGAACAATAAAAATATTCAATTAAATAAATAATAAAATTATTATAAAATAATAAATAATAAAATTAAACAAATAAAAATACAAATAAAAATTAAAAATTCAACTTTCGGAAATTTTAAGAAAAAAGCCGTGATCAATGTATCTTCCCGAATAATTTGCTTCCACGATCGCTTCATATCAATAAGATTTAACACTAATTTTATGGAACATCGTATTAAGAATATCGATTTGATGGATATTATTTTCTAAGTATTATTTGTCAGTTTGTTGGTCAGAAAAATCGAATTTCCCGGATTAAATTTGGATATGTTTGTCGTTATCAGCACACTGTCATCAGCATACTATGGCTGGGTACTACATTAATTAGACTGACATTTCAAGCACGATGCCTCAGCTCGATATAAGGTTGTCAATAAATCAAGGACTACATTCTATCCTCTTATCAAAGGAGATAATTTAATCTGAAATGGCAAATATCGTAGCGAAAAAAACATCTTATAAGTATTAATCTAACTAGAATCCTATTTTTTTGCAGGAGTTTTATTTTATCTTATTTTTTACTTTATTTTTATTTTGGAATTTCATAAAAAACCTATCCTGTGTTATGCTATAAATGTTATAATAAAGTATGAAAATTTTTCAAAAAGAAAAATAATCTATTCCGTTGAAAGAGGTAAAATTAAAGGAACTAAAAATGGCACCAAGCCTAAAAAATTTTCGAAATGAAGAAACTCAATTTCTCAAAATATGTTCTCTTTTTATCTTTTAAATTTAAATTTATTTATTTAAATTCCGTAACTTATTGAAATATTTTTTCCCATGAGCATTCACCATTTCTAGTGAAATTCGCTCCGATGGCTTGTCGAATTTGACAAATTCTTTCCTAAGGAGTTACTTGGCTATATAATTACATCCGGATTTCTGAAAGACAGATTTACTTCCGCTAGGAACAAAATCCCATCTTTATCATTTCAACGAAAACATTTATGATCTTTATAGATCTATAAATAAATAAATAAGCTGGATTTGTGATTTATTTTTAATCAAATTCATTTGGCGTTCTGAGGCTTAAGCATCATCGCTTCTTACTTTTTTAATCGGTTTCTTCTTTCTGATAACAAAAATTTCATAGAATTTTATTTATATATTGAAACTTAATATAGTCACCACAGCCAGAGGGTCAGTTAAAAAGATACAGATTGGTCCTCGGCGATCCTCGAATTGCGAAACCTTTAATTACTAATTTATTCGTGTCTAGAGGCTTTTCACTTCTGTTTATTGGTTTTTTGAAAATAAAAAATTCTTGAATTAGATGTTCATACTCACATTTTTTTATATTTTTCTGTGAACTAGTATTAAGAGGAGAATGGTCGATTTGCCTCAATTGCGACCCAACAGGTTGAGGGGAATACTCTCTGTCATCTAAATGATTTTAGGATCACATGAGCATCTGTACTTTTCTCTGTTTTCGAGTAATTCTTTTGTGAAAGAAGTTAGTGTTCATCTTAATACTTTTAAAGGAAAATTAACAATTAGTAAAAATATAGAATTATTTCACCGTAAAGAGGCCATTAAGATAGACCGAAATGAAAATTTTTGAGAAACATTAATTAATTTCATAATAATATTATCAAAATAAAATAATTTAGTATTTTCATATTTGTGGCTTATATGGCCCAAATCACCATTCACCACTCTATCACCATTCCTCTATTTGCTCATATTTTTTTTCATTCTATGATTTTAAAACTACAAGCGGGTGGCCTGATTTTTAAACGACCAACTATGCAGCCAACTAACTACGCGAAAAATGATGAGTGGTATTAGAAAAAGAAATTTTGTCGCTAAAAAATAAACATATTAATGAAGATATGAATATATAATCAGTTCAAGCAATTGATGGGAAAAAAATTTAAATGTTTTGGAATTAGCGGATTGTCGTTTTTATTTTGTTTTAGTGCTTACGAATTTAACCATATGTTTGAAATTTAAAACAAAATGATTGGCAGCTGGTGAGATTTAATTACGTAAAATGGTGGTGACTTCTCACTAGTCTGTTCAAATGTTTTGAAATGAAATACTACAAAATTTTCTGAGAGTGTAAATTTTATTCAAATATTATTAAATATTTATTTTTATTTTACTTTTTTTGAGGGAAAAGCATTGTTGATTAAACCCGCTCCACTGATTTGTCGTACTTGGACAAATATCCCTTGGCGATAGAAATACAGGTGAGTCGCCAGCATCAACCGGATTTTTGTGCATGTTTTCCCCTGCGGGGAATCGAATCTCAGCATCGGTGCTCCCAATTGAGCATGAACCCACTAAGCCATTCTATCCCCTATATTATTATATTTCTATACTAATAATATTTAAAATATCTATAATGGGTTGAATACTAATAATAAAAACAATAAGAATAATAGCAATAATAATAATAATACAAATAGATTATAAGTGTTATACTTATCTTTCGCTGAAGATGATGTTTAGATTAATAGTAGATTATATTTTCTTCAAAACGAAAAAAAACAAAAAAATGAATAAATATTCATAGCACATAATGAATAAAAGTAAAATAGCTTATTGGTAAAATGGTTTATCCAAATTTTTACCAGATTTTAAAATAATAAATAGTCTGAATTTTAAATTTCAATAATTTGAGGTGAATAAATAAGTAAAATTTTTATTCACTCTTATGCATTTTTTATAGGATCTGATATTGGTAAATTTTGCAGCTTTTCCTTCCTTAATTTTATGCTCTTGTCATGTCATTTAAAAAATGGTACCTCTGGACCTCTGCCTCCCAAATGGTTCTCTGGTGTCTCAAGTGGACCAAAAATAATTAATGCTAGCCACTAATTAATTGTAGATGCTTCAAAAAATAACAAATAGAACATTTGTGTAAGTTCGTTGAAAAAATTTTTCATCCCAACAGTGGAACTATACTAAACGATTGGATTAAGTTGAATAATTTATAAAAATCATAAAAAAAAAATGAAAAATTAATACTTTGGCTTCAAAATGAATGCCGTGTTGATAGGCAAGCTCATTATGTAAAGGAATGCGGCAGTCATATAGATCATCCGAAATTATATCGTAAGATCCATGTTTCTTCTTATTCGGCATTCTAACAATTCTGCAATAAAATCCGGTGAATTTATATTCCATTAAACAAATAAATTTAATTCTAAAAAAAATTTGTATTTTGTTAAGAAAAAAAGTTATTTTGCTATGGAAAAAAATTTTTGAAATTTTTTTTAAATAATTAAATAAAAAAATTGAAAATTTTCTTTGTTTAATGTTTAATGCGATTGTTCTGATGTTAAAATTAGTTCATTTGTTTACGTATTGGCTTGCAAATTTTTTTGGTGCTTGTAAATAATTTTAAAATTAATCTATACGGAAATCAGACTTTAATCCCTAATATATTTTCCTTAATTTATTAAAATTATAGAATTAAGTGTTGAATTAAAGATGAAACAAAGATGGATATGAGAAAAAAATTTATTGATCTATTTCTCTTGAATTTGTTTATTTAAAAACTTAAGAAGTCTGTTTGAAATGAGTAAATTTTTAAAATTTCAATGGAACTAAAAGTATTTATTCTCTATAGTTATGGGCAACATAGCCGAGTGGCATACTATTGTGTCTTAAGCATTATGGTGACACAAATAAACTTGCCACTTAAAAAGAAACCTAGGGACTCGTTTTCTAAGTTATTGCTTGGCAAAACTTCTCACAGCCAATGGAGCGAACCTAAGGAGAAATTGGTGAGCGCTAACGGCAACTATTTTCTATCACTAATAAGTTTTCTTTTGGAAAAGGATGAAGCAAAAATAAAACAAACATTAAATAATTTATTCGAGTAATTAAGTACTTCTAATAAAGAAATCATAGGCATTGGTTCTACAAACTATTGGTGTAAGCAATTTCAACTCATTAATAGTATGGAAAGCGGTGATAATTAGCTCAACGTAACCGACCTTATAAATGAACACCACCAGATTTTATTTTCTTATTTCTCTAAGCGAATCAAAATTATAATATAATTTCGGATTTGATTTATTCGGACTTAATGAAGAG